GAAGGTTTACAAAGGAGGCCGCAGTGATTAGAGTGAAAATTTCGGTGGAATACCATACTATTATAACGATTGGAACCCCAAACTTGTATTGGTTGGAAATTTTTAAGCCGCTAGTATTGGTAAATATTTAAGCCGCGAAGCTCGTTACATGAGGTTCCTGGCCCAGCGGATGAGACTGACCAGGGCTTTGCATTCAAAGCAGCGAGGATTTGAGTTGGGGTTCTTTGGTGTAGCAGGTAGCAACTTCTTACTCCGATCACGCCGGGTGATTTGACAGTTGGGGGGTCACCCCCTGACTTTCAGAGATCTAGGATGGTGTCCCAGATGCTGCGTTTGATGATGAAGATGCCAGTGATGACGATGATGCTAATGATTGGGACGCTGTGGTGATTATGGTGGTGGTGGTGGTGGTGGTGGTGGTGGTGGTGGTGGTGGTGGTGGTGGTGGTGGTGGTGGTGGTGGTGGTGGTGGTGGTGGTGGTGGTGGTGGTGGTGGTGGTGGTGGTGGTGGTGGTGGTGGTGGTGGTGGTGGCACTTGTGAAGATTGAGATGACGACAATCATCACCGCCCATCGTGATCATGACACTGGCTAGTTGACATGTAACGGGAAGGTAACGGATGGTCATCATCATGAGGTGATGGTGATGTGATGGCGGTGATCAAGAAGATGTATCTGCAAGCTGAACCCCTGCTATCACACTCTGACTTGACTAGTCTTCTTGCCGCTCCGACCGTTGTGACTAGCTGGTCCTCGTACTAGTATTATGTCGTGCATGAAGCCCAAATCCCAGTATCCTAAATCCACCCTGAACCACATAAACCTCAACCGAAATCCGGAAATCGTTTCAACCCATGGAGCCCTCAAACGCAAAACAAAGAGGACAACTCGAACTGCAATGCTGAGGCATGTGGCCGATACTCGCTAAGGCGACGTGAGGCAGCGGAACAGCCTGCTATCAGGAACCGAGGCGCGCGACATGGGCACCCCTGCCAACCACTCCACAAGCTGCAGAGCTGCAGAAATTCAAAAAAAACTATGACAACTGTCCCTAAACCCTGCAGACCACACACCGTCAATCCCACAAGGCAAGCCCGGAAACTGACCGACAAATCCTGGACGTCCGGCAAAGAGCGACTGCAAGGGAGTATGATTGCCAATTCTCAGACCAGGTATTGGGTCAACGGCTCTTACAAACGCACAGCTCGGAGCGCCGTGGCACCTTCATCTTCTGAGAAAAAGCATCGATCTGTTTGAAGCGCCCATCACCTCAGATGCGCGTCGCGCGAAGGACTGCTCAACTATCTTTTACCTTTGTTGGTATGGTTGCTCTTAGATCAGCGTTCCGCAGCACTAACCCAATTATTACCGTAGTTACGAGCCTAACCTGCCACTATCAGTTCCACCCCCGGGACAGATATTAACATGGCGACTTGTGCAAACATTGCTAACGGTAGTATTTGATTCAATTTGCAGCTTAGGTAACAGATGGCTTGCTGCAAAGATAGGGCCTACCTCTGACGAAACTGCTGCGGCTTTCTCCGACGAAAACGCGCAAGCTGCCGGAAGGGACGAGAAGAACGAGAACAATCGGATGAAAACTTCAATTAAGTGACCATGTGCTGGATAAGGCTGGCAACGTGCCTGCAGAAGCACACCCCCTTGTGGCATGTTGCAGCCAAGCTGGAAGTCCTGAATCTCACGACTGAATCTACAAAACCCTCTCAAAACTCGCTGAACACGAAACCCCAATTTGTCAAACGTACCCTGAGCCCTTAACCCTAAACCTCCGAATCTTACACATCTTAAAAACGTCAAGCCCAACGGAGAGAAACACCCGTTCAACCCCAAGTCCAGGCACTGCGGATAGACAGGGCAAGCTCGGCCTGCGCGCAGAGCATTTTTGGTTTAGGGTTCGTGAAGCGGCCCAAGCCGCATACTCGCACTACTTGTGCACACACACCGGCCACCGATGCTGCATTCTACTAGGACTTGTATGTCTAAGCCAGCACCACCAGCGCCATGGTAGCCAAATGCCTCACTCTTTTGATGCCCCAGCCTTTGACTTCTTGGAGCAATGGGGTTTGGATTTGCAAAACCTTGAAAATGATCCGGGAGGATCGGAGATGCGGAGTAGCTCAAGCTTTCTTTGGAAATTCAGGGGACGTGGCCTCAGCTAGGCACAAGCTAATGGCTTGGGTATGGGTATTTTAAAGCGCAGTGGGACTTCGACTGCAGCCAGTCCAAATCCTTACGCATCCACACTCCTTCCTCAAAGTCATGAAAGGCCAATTCAGTTTCTGAAAGCCCCACCCTCGAGCATCTGGACTTGATTTTCCCGGACCACGGTCATTCATCGAAATCCTAAGCGTCTAGCTGAAAACCCTACACCTCAAAAGCCCTCCCTGCCTCCCGTTCCTGTGTTGGCGTCAGCTTGGTCGCATCCTTGGTCTCCAGGGCTCGCACCAGTTCCTTGCGGAAGGATTTCTTTATTGTGCTCAGGACTTGGGGTTGAATGTTTTGGAACATCAGGACTCCTAAAACCCCAACCTGCAAAGGGAATGGTTTAGGGTTTAGGGTTCGGGCTCCTAAAACCCCAACCTGCAAAGAACTCCCGAAAGCCCACCCGGTACACCCGGTCAGCCCTGGCCCTTGAACCCGCGACTGCACCTGAAGGTTGCCTGAGAGAACAATACCCCGTAATTTAAGGGAAAAACCTTCAATTATGAGGGGCTGCATGTTATGAATGAGGGAGTATACTTTAAGTTACAAGCTGCATATTGTGAACGAAGGAACACACCTGAAGTTATGAGGGGCTGCATATTATGAACTAAGGAATATACCTTAAGTTATAAGGGGCTGCATCTTAGGAGCTAAGCCGCTAAATTCCTCAACTAAGGGGTATTGGGCTCGGGTTGTTTCGGCCATTTGGAAGCTCCAGGGACTTGCAGCATGCCTTCTCAGGGTACTTGGAGGTTCATGGGTAGCAATGAGGGTTATAAGTAGGGTAACTATACTTAAAACCCATATTAGGGACTTATACGCCCATTTATAACCACCCATGAACCTCCAAGTATATCGGGTCACAACAACAAGCGCCTCATGGCTAGTTATAAGTATGGCTATAAGTACCGGAATTGGGCTCTCCATACTTAAACATGAAATGACCCGAGTTTTAACCACCCTACTTACTATGCCCCCTGATGCTTCAAGCCTTAAAGTCATCCTTGGGTTTAGGTCTGAGAACCTCGAGCCGTAATCACTGCACTCAAATCACGAATCTCAGACCAAAACCCCAAAAAACCCAAATCCCAAAATGGCATACCACCACGAAAAGACACCCAAAATCCTAAAAAAATCTGCCGAACCCCGAGAAATCCTAAAAATCCTCGGAACCCCGAAAATTCCTAAAAATCCTCGGTCGGAACCCTGAAAAAAACCCTTGCTTCAAATCCTCCCAAAACCCCGGGAGCTGGGGCCCCCTGCGCGGCTCAGCTGGGCGCGCCGGTCTTTTGTGCCGCCACGGCGCGGGCTTGATGCCATGTTGATGCGTAAGGGTCGTTTTGTTATAAGAATGTCTTTATCAAAACAATTCACCATGTTGAAACATAAGTTTTAATAAAAATAATTCACCATGTTGAAGTGTGAGAGAGGATCTTTAACAGCTCTCGTAGTGATCTGTAACGTAGGAGTTCTTGCAAGGATTCTTTAGAGGGGTTTTTATGCTTCTATGAGGGTTTGTCTGAGACTAGGAGTTCCTTTCAGTGCTCTGCAAGGGTCATGAGGGCCATCTAGAGGCTTGGAAGGATTTGGCTCAAGGAGTTTCATTTTAGGGTTTTGGCACTTAGGCTTCAGGCTGCAAGGCTCGGGGGTTCAGGAGTTCGGGGTTACCAGTCCAGGTTATGGGCTTTCGCTGGCCTGGGGTTGTAGGCTGAGGATTTCACATGCTTGGGCTGTGGCTTTAGGACTCGCCGGGTCTTTCTGGAAGGAGACCTCTTAAGGAACTCCACCTGAAATGGCTCGTCAATTCACAGTGCAGGCAGGCAGCCCTGAATCCACCCACGCATCTCCACTCTAGCCGGTTCTGTTGGGTGTGGCGCGGCAACAATAACTGGGGGTCAGGGTCCGAAAAGGCCGTTTAGGCTTCAGGGCTCCAGGGTTTCGCGATTCAGTGCGTCGCTTGGGGTATAAACTGCATCAGCTGACTACTACCACACTTAGAATAGGACACCAAGCTAACGCCCCGAACCCTAAACCCAAATATATTGTAGAGGCCTGGGTGATTCAGCCACAGTTGTGGAGAAGTTACACTATTAGCATCTATCAGCATATTATGATTCCCAAGTCATGGCATGACCAATCGCTTGCACCAGATTGAAATTACCGGGATTTGACATATGGTTCAGGGTTTGGGAGGCAGAGCTCATGGCTTTTGGTCTACTTACTACTAGTACTAGTACTAGTACTAGGACTAGGACTAGTACTAGTACTAGTACTAGTACTAGTACTAGTACTACTACTACTACTACTACTACTACTACTACTACTACTACTACTACTACTACTACTACTACTACTGCTACCACTGCTACTACTACTACTATAACTACTACTACTACTACTACTACTACTACTACTACTACTACTACTACTACTACTACCACTACTACTACCACTGCTGCGGCTGCTACTACCACTAAGACCACCACCACTACCACGACCACGACCACTACCACTGCCACTACCACCACCGCTGCCACTGCCTCTACCAATACACGGACCACTGCCAACGACAATTTCGTGCTTCCAGCTCAAGCGGTAACTGACCCCAAGAGTGGCAATTCCGCCTGAGCCCAAAGGCTACAAGCTAAGTCCTCTATCTGAAACCCTACACGGGCACCCTGAAAAAACAAAACACATAGTTGCTCTCGGCGGCTTATCTCTGCTGACTTCGCGATCTGGGGTTAAGGCAACACTCCCGGCCTCGCAACACTTTTCTGCACTACCCAGCGACACGCTCTAATAGCGCAGCGACGCGGTCTCGATCCCGGTCGACAAACTCCTGGCATGCGTTTCCGGCTTGGCGCACGTGGCAGGCTTCTCGCTGATGGCGTTTGTCGGCTCCTGCTTCAGCGATCCTGCTGTTCGACCCATGTTCTGGGTCTCTTGATCTGCACAAAGCGTTCTGTACTTCCAATGCCTTAGCCGGTAAAACCTTGAAGTCAAATGCCAGGCCCATGTGCACGCGTAATACACCAGCATCATCAACAACAACAACAGAACAGCGACAGAGTATGAAAACACGGCATGGTAAGCCCTAGACCACAAACCCTCGATCGCCAAACCCTGCAACAGCCATGGAACCCCGACAACACCAGCATAGTATCGAAACAAAGCAGAATCCCACTCCTTCCCCCTCCCCACCGAAAAAACCAAACTAGCACACCCTAAACCCCTAATCCCGAAGCTGTTCTGTAGCATGGACCGAGTGAAGGCCTTCACCGCAGGCCATCGGTCCTCCGAACACTGCATCTCCTGATGAGACTCTTTTTCGGTGGTGTACAGCACTTCTTGCGGCACTTCTGCCAAGTTGTTTAGGAAGGATTGCAAGGTTTTCGACGGGTTTTACACAGGTTCCGAAGTGCTCTACAGGGTTGCACAGGGGTTTCACAGGGTCAACGGTTTTTGTGCTTAGGGCCTCGGCTTTAGAGTATAGGGTTCAGGTTAGTACCAGCTCTACGAGACAGACAGAAAGCACAAGTCTCGCTACCCCTCGTTGCATTACCATCACTCTGGTTAAGCAGAGATGAGGCTGATGTAGAAGTTACTTTTTGTTAGTCTTATGATCGAAACCGAGGTTATCCGTCTCCTTGAACTCCAAGTACGCTGGCAACCGCGACTTGGCGATGTCCAGCGCCGTCAGGCCTGGTTTAGGGTTTGGGGTTGTGCTGTCTGCTTGGCGTTTACGGTCGAAGGATTGCTATTTTGAAGGTTTCGGGAGTTTCGGCTTCATGGTGTAGGGATGAGGGTGTTTGAAGGTGTTCGTCATTTCGGGCTGATAGTGTTCAGAGGTGGTGGTGGGCTTCATGTGTCCTACGGGGCGTGCGCGTGGTACGGTTTGGGTGGGCTGCGGTAGAATAGGATCTTGCGGTTAAATCTGTCATAACCGTACTTGGAGGTTCATGCGTAGTTATATGTAGGGTAACTATACTTATAACCAATATTTTGCGAAACTCTCATACCCACCTGCCATATTGACAGAGCGTGCTTAGAGTTACCCCGAAAAAGCTGCAGAACCATGACAATCAGGCTATTAACTATAGTAGTGGCAATAGTGGTGTAGTCATCTAAAATCTCAACCTCGGAACCCTAAACCCTGATCCCTAAACCCTAAACCCTGAACCCTAAACCCTAAACCCTAAACCTAAACCCAAAGTCATCGAACCCAAAGTCGCCTGCAGTATCCTTCAGGCTCGGATCGGCTCGCAGAGACAGGAGGACCTCAACAGCCTGCACAAAACATCGGTGGGCTTTTCTTGAAAAGTTGGGTTCTTCTTTTGAGGTATGCTCAAGTCCTCATAATAAGGATCCTAGAGTTGGAAGTTCAGGGTTTACGTTTAGGGTTTTGGGCGACTGGGCTGATATCCAAGAAAGGTATTGCGAAGTGCAACTTTGCAACACGCGGCCAAGGACCGCTTGGTTGCCCGCTCGAACATAGCAAACAAATCAGAAGGGAGAGGGACAGCCACTTGAGAGTGGAAAACCGAAGATGCAGGGCGGCCCAAAAAAAACACGCGAAGATGTGTGAGGGCCCAACACGAAGAGGGTGGAGGGAGACACGTTCTGCAAACACCGGTCCGTCTACTTCATACTGCTTCGTGCTCGTAACATGACTTAACAACCCAGTGTCCATAACGCTTCCGAGCGAAGGAACACCTTCATCTTCAACCCTGCACCAAGCCAGTTGAGCTTCAGGGCGTCTTAGGGTTCCCGGCGTTCTGGGTAACCGGTTCAGGGGTCAGGGCTTCTTAGTGCTCCTCAAGCTCTCAGGATCTTTTTCAGCTCTCAACTCTTCGAGTTGACACCCACAAGAGTCCCAGAGCCATCAGAGGGCAGGGTTCAGGGTTTAGTGGTTTTGGGTTTTGGGGGTTTGGGGGGGATCCTAATACAGTACCCTAAACAGCAGAATCCTTCATATAAGGACCCCGAAACTCCCTTTTGGGTATACGAGACTCCAAACAGAGCCTCCACCCGCAAGACCTTAAAGCCCTGCTTGCCTCAGCGTTGCCGAAGCGAGTCGCCTCACATCTCGAGGGTTCAGGGTTTAGGGGCTTTTTGGGTTTAGGGTTCAGGGGTTTAGGGTTTAGGGGCTTTTGGGGTTTAGGGGCTTTGGGGGTTTGGGGGTTTAGGGTAACACAAGCCCAAAGCCTGAAAGCAACCGTGACGATGGTAACGGAATCAACCGTTGCGGGGGGGCCTTATCATTAAGCCCATCAACAAAGAAGGGTGCCCATACACATATATATATATATATACGCAATAGTAAAAGTTTTAAATAGACATATAAATGCATCTAAAAACTTAAATACATATGTACATACATATCTACATATGTGTGTGTATATATATGTGTGTGTGTGTGTGTGTGTGTGTGTGTGTGTGTGTGTGTGTGTGTGTGTGTGTGTGTGTGTGTGTGTGTGTGTGTGTGTGTGTGTGTGTGTGTGTGTGTGTGTGTGTGTGTGTGTGTGTGTGTGTGTGTGTGTGTGTGGTGTGTGTGTGGTGTGTGTGTGTGTGTGTGTGTGTGTGTGTGTGTGTGTGTGTGTGTGTGTGTGTGTGTGTGTGTGTGTGTGTGTGTGTGTGTGTGTGTGTGTGTGTGTGTGTGTGTGTGTGTGTGTGTGTGTGTGTGTGTGTGTGTGTGTGTGTGTGTGTGTGTGTGTGTGTGTGTGTGTGTGTGTGTGTGTGTGTGTGTGTGTGTGTGTGTGTGTGTGTGTGTGTGTGTGTGTGTGTGTGTGTGTGTGTGTGTGTGTGTGTGTGTGTGTGTGTGTGTGTGTGTGTGTGTGTGTGTGTGTGTGTGTGTGTGTGTGTGTGTGTGTGTGTGTGTGTGTGTGTGTGTGTGTGTGTGTGTGTGTGTGTGTGTGTGTGTGTGTGTGTGTGTGTGTGTGTGTGTGTGTGTGTGTGTGTGTGTGTGTGTGTGTGTGTGTGTGTGTGTGTGTGTGTGTGTGTGTGTGTGTGTGTGTGTGTGTGTGTGTGTGTGTGTGTGTGTGTGTGTGTGTGTGTGTGTGTGTGTGTGTGTGTGTGTGTGTGTGTGTGTGTGTGTGTGTGTGTGTGTGTGTGTGTGTGTGTGTGTGTGTGTGTGTGTGTGTGTGTGTGTGTGTGTGTGTGTGTGTGTGTGTGTGTGTGTGTGTGTGTGTGTGTGTGTGTGTGTGTGTGTGTGTGTGTGTGTGTGTGTGTGTGTGTGTGTGTGTGTGTGTGTGTTTTTACAACACCGTTCAATGAGTGCATGTATGTGAATATGTTCTTACTTATCTATCTTGCTTTTTGTCTGTTTTTGTATCTGATCCCTCTATGAACATAGTTTAGGGAGGGGTTGGTGTACGGTGCCTTAGGAGAACTCGGAAGTGAGGTGCCTGGCAAGGCTGGGTGAGCTACAGCCTGCAAGGGGGTCCAGGTAAAAGTCCAGCACAGGGAGAACCATGGGGCAACGACAGATCAATGATCAAAACGGCTGCAAAAACATCGGGACGACGTCGTGGTCAGTAGCACTCGAGCCAGCTATACTCATGGATGCAAGCCGTCTCTTAGACCCGATCATGGCAGTCTTAGTCTTGGTGCCTGAAGCCACAGCCACGAAAGCCGAGAAGAACCCATGATAGTAAAGGGTTTAGGGATATGGAATGATAGTAAAGGCTGTAGGGAAAAGGACCGGACACACCAAACCAGGAGCGTTATACTCTGTTGGATCCTTGAACGCTGGGACCCTACACCCTGAACCCTGAATCGTAGACCCGAACGGATCTCCCAAAACCCTCACCCTAAAAACCCTAGTACCATAAGCCCGATGTCGTAAAACCCTCTAAGGCCTCCATGAGAGGAGTCAGACCCGAGCTTGCTACCTGCAGCAAGGACCCCAGGTTCCGGGTATGGGATTTAGGGCTTGAGGTTCAAGAGTCAAGGCTTTAAGGGGCTTTTTGAATTAAGGGTTTTAGCGCTTGGAGTTGTTTAAGGCTTAAGGATGCGCGGGTTTAGGGCATCGAGGTTTTTTAGGGCTTGGGGTTTGACGTTTGGGTATCGGGGTTTGGATTTGGGTCACTCGGGATATAGGAGCGACAGACTCGTAATGATGAGAGGAGCGAGCATAAGGAGACTGAGCATCAGAACCCGAAAGACAATGTTAACAGCAACAAGAAGAACATCAGTGGCAGTGAGAACATAAAACCTATTTCCAGGTCGACAATGATTCAACAACCACCGATGAGAAGAACAACCATTGCAATTCGCATCGTCGTAAACGATAGTTGCAACACTCACTAATGTGATCCATCATACAACGGCACATGGTTCGTCACATTGGTAATACGGAATACGGGTTATGCGTGTCATTCTTCCTAGTCTTAGCAATCAGGTTGGCATACTGTAGAAGAAGAGAAGGACCTCGCAATGATTTGAAGAAATTCTGATGACGGACTAGCGCAAAGCTATGTCCATTGATCAGGGTAAGCAGGGTTTGGTTTAGGGCAGAATGCCCGTGGGAAAGTTTGAAACATGGAAAGCACTAAAGTAGAGAGTCGCCAACATAAACATAACATCAACCAAAAAACAACTCAACACAGCGGTGACAGAAGCAAACATCAACACTGCGAAAGTAGTGAGAACCATAATCCTCGCTCCAACAGTGCCACCCCGGATTTGGTCTCTACTATTGTTATGGTAGCCACACCGTGCTTATATTCAGCTGCTACCGATAATGATGGTGATGATGGCAACTGCGATGATGATGATGATGATGATGGCCACGTCAATGACGACGACTATGACGATCCCGAAGGCAGCAGTGACGATGCTTCGTGACACAAGCACAGGGCTTGGGGTTTCAAGCCTGTGGGCTTTGCAAAGCTTCAAGAGTGGTCGTGGGAACGTCCCGGGTTAGCTATTCGATTCTACGCTTTTTCTGGTTCAAGTTGCAAGGGGGATTGCGGCCCGCGCGACTAGCGCGGTTGTGAAGTACACCATACTGAAACCAGAAAGGACTAGGATTGAAACGACGCGGTTCGAAGCACTTAGCACTCGAACCTAAGCCATCCGTCAACCCGAGGTTTTATTTATATGCTTAGTCAAGAATAGCTTTGCCTGAAAGTTCACGTCGAAGTTCCGCCTTTCACATGAGATCGGAGGGCTTCTGAAGGGCCGGGGTGTAAGGTTTACGGCTTGGGGTTTAAGGTCTAGGGTGTGTTGACTGCCTGAACCCTCGGCACTGGGTTTTGGAGCACCCTTCTGTTCGTCCTCTTCTCTCGTCGCTGACCAACTCTACACCAGTCGTCCACAACCCTTGCCAGTACTGAAGACCACGATGGCCATCATATCATCATCATCATCACCGATCACAACAACTTTATCATCATCAGCGGCAGCAGCGGCAGCAGCAGCAGCAGCACCACCACCACCACCATTGACATCACAATCAACCACCTTCCCCACCACTGCACCGCTGCACCACCACCACCACCACCACCACCACCACCACCACCACTGCAACTGACCTGGGACCAAAGCCATCCACAATGCACAAAGGGCGAGCAACACAACGTTTCAGGGAAGCGACGAAGAAGAAAGGGAAGAAAGAGCAACAGGACAGCAGAAAGGATTGAAGTTCAAAAGCCAGGTTGTCGGCATATCTTCACCAAAACTCACTAGAGTCACTAGCTAAGGATTACAAACAAGACATGCAATTTTCGTCTTTGGTGCACCCGCTAATTTAGGGTTCTTTCAAGCACGAATGATCAGAGCAGGGCTTTCCGGATTTTGTGGTGCGGGCAAAAAGCTCATGGAATGTAGAACCCTTGGAGAAACCAGCCAACTAGTAGCCTGTAAAAAATTGAAGGAAGGCTTCGACAAAACAAGAAGCCCACATGTAGACCCCAATCACAAGCATGTTTGCCACAAGGACGCTGTCGGAAACCCCTATGCGGACCTCTGGACCAGATAATGTGGTGCTGCGTCCATCACCTGAGAACCTGATCACGATGTTGTCGCGTCTCCTTATGTTTTGCTTCGCTTTCTGGGTTCACATAGCCATGAAACCGTAAGGTTTGCCATTACAACTTACACTACGGGCTCGTAAACAAGAAAGGAGCCTAGGGTTTAGGGTTGACGGGTTCAAGGTTCAGGCTTTGCAAGGGTCCGGGGTGTACAGGCTTACAAAGGCTTCCCGTCTGAAAGAGTTTTGCCAGGGTTTCAATTCATTCAGCGCTCATGGGTTCAGGGTGATCTCCCCGCGCCTGAAAACCAAAACAGACCCAACTGCCCTAGAGTTCGTAAGCATGCAAACAGGCGTCTGCAAAAACAAAGCACAGAAACGAGACGAAACCCCACAAGACGACATAGTGACAGGTTTCGGATTCAGGACCGCGCCCTGAAACTCCCGAGCCGCCCAACCCCCCCTTCCCCCCGCAGCAACTCAGCGAAACCGCAAAGCATCTGGTCCTGAAGCCAGAAGGAAGTTTCCGAGACTTAGGGGTACCTTATGTTGGGCCCTTACAATAAGGATCCTACTATTTACTGGTAGGGTACCATATTAGGATCCCCTATTTTCGGAAACTCCCAGATGCAAGCAGCGCAGCAAAAACGTTTCGGAGACCCTCCGCTCCCAGAGTCAACCCTCCAGAAACCCTGCAGACACGTCGTGTCTGCTGAGCATACCCTGGCCCCTAGAATAACCTATCTTACGAAGCCTCTCACAAAGCCACCTAGTAAGTCTGGAGCTCTCAAGAAGCCTGCCAAGGAACCCTCTTTAAGCCCCAAAGGCCTGCCAGGGCAGCCAGGGCAGCTTTTGCAACGGCAGTCTTGGAGATCTGCGCGGCGCCTGGGAACAACAGTCTTCGGGTTCGGGGTTTAGGGAGTTTAGGATTGGGGTGTCTGGGTTTGGCTGTTGGTTTGTTTTTGGGTTTGTTCAAAGGTTGGGAGTGCTAAATCTGTTTGGGGGTGCTCAACAAAAAGAGACGTGTCTACCCACTCTGCCCCTTCATTCAAGGAACAATAACAAGCAGCGCATTTCTCCTGCTTCACGCATGTGGCTATCGGAAACAAGCACTCCTAATTCCGTGTGCGTGCTCAGAACAACCAAGACAGCGTCGATGACCACACCACCACCGCCGCCACCGCCGCCGCCACCGCCACCGCCACCGCCACCGCCACCACCACCACCACCACCACCAACCACGCCCGCCGCCGCCACCAACAACAACAACAACCGCAACAACGACAACAAGAGCAACATACCAGCACCACCTGCGCCACCACCACGGCAGCGCCACAATAACATCATCACGATCATCTTCGGAGCAGCCTGCCTTCGCTCGCAGAGGGCTCCAGATTTACAAACAACAACGCAAGGAACCGTATGTGCTTTCACCAAAACCCTACGATACACCCGACAACACATACTCTCGCGGTTGAGAGGCTTCTTCAGTTTCGTCCGCTAACTTAAAGTTAGGGCGCATGATTCCAATTTGGTGGCTGGGGCTCCTTGCCAGAGTCGTCGCGGTTCCCGCGCACGGCATAGAAGAGCAGAGTGCGGCCCTGCTCGTCCGTGCCGGAAATCGAACGCCTTTGTGCAAAAGCAGGGCGCAGAACATTAAGAGTGTAGGTTTTGAGGCTTGGATTTTTCCAGTGTAAGGGCTTTTTCAAGTATAGTGGGCCTATCGCACGGGCTCGCCTTTTCCAGACTACTTCTTGCGCAACTCAGCCAGTAAGCTCCTAAACCCGAAGCCCGGAAACCCCATGAACCAGCCATCTGCCGGCGGATCATCCCCGAGCCGTGTCAACTCAGAGTGTTGAAGGTCTTGTGGTCGCAGGGGTTAGGGTTTGGGGTTTTCGGTTTAGGAGTGGGCGTTTTGGATGTGGGGGGGGCAACGTCACAACATGCAGAATCGAAAGGTGCATTTGGCAAAAGGCAGAGAGATCAAATAGGGCAGTGACATGCCTGGACTTGCAGAGTCGGTAGACATACCAAACATCAGACATGAAACATACACTTGGCAATCTATACTATACTGTTGACACACAACAGCCGAACTGCAGATGCCGCCTCAAGGCAGAACTAAACTGCCATTACCCGTTTTTCTTCGAAATAGTGCGAGAACCCAAAATTGCGTTGCTTCTTGTCCCCGGAGTGGCTATAGTAGAATGTCTGTCCATAAGTCCCGGACATAAAACCAGAACGAGGGGCCCCTAGCAGAGAGCTTAAACACGACAATCATCGCGACAAGGATACCTTTCAGGTATCCCCAGTTGGCCGTTTTGTTTTTCCTCCCGTAAAGCCCTGGTAGAACTCATAGAAGCTCGAAGCTTAATTTCGCAGCTTCATCCCCGACAACCCGTAAACCGTCACACACACCCTGAAACTCCATATACGTACAAAAGCCTTGGACAAACTCCCCATAAATAAACCCCAAGTTCTGAGCATTCCCCTAAAACGAACCGTAGATTCTTGAAATTTGGTCCTTTAGGAACACCCGAGACCGCAAACCCTAAACCCAAAACCCAAGAAGCGGTGGCCTCAGCACAGAGGTCAAAATCTCCAGGGTTTCTGTGTCCTCCTGGCGCGCAGCGATGCGCGCCTCGCGACCGAAACAGGGGCTCCTGTAAGGATCCCTTTATATAAAGTAACCCTTTGACCCTGAAGGTGGGTTCTTCGAAAAGTTTGCGATGGCAGTGTTTCAAGCAAGGGCCTAGAGGGTCTATAAGCACCTTACACGGCTTCTATATGGGTTATGCAGATGTTTGTTGGGTTTTCTAGATGATCTACGGAAGCATCGACGGGTTCATAAGCATGCCAAATTGGCATACCAGAGAACACCTGAGTTTGGCCAATGCAGCGAATCACATCTTAACATATCGGGAAAACTATAATCATGTTTTGGACATAATTCGCTTCAAATGTTGCGACTGTCTGGGTCGCCATTCATAGTGCTGTTTTGTTCTGCATCAAATCACGAATTGCTCTGCGTGCTTGATAATGGGCAGAACATGCAGATGCAACAAGCTGCAAGGCTTGAGGAGACATGCGAGATACGCTGATGCCTGTAAAGCAAAGCACGGAGACGTCAGCAAAGACACCAAGAAAGACCCCACGAACAGAAGAGTGAATACAAAGCCAACCGTTCTGACAAGTCACGGAAAAGCGACAGAATCGCGAGGTACATGCTCTGCTTGCATTAGAGTCACAACACTTCACCCGAAACTCAAACTCAATGTCTGCAAGGATGCCCTAGCCGATGTTGAACTATCGCACGGGGGGGTGTATTAGGCTTGGGGATCCTTCCTAGGTGCCGAGGGTTGGATATTGGGGTTGAGATCTTGGGGTGGGCACACACACAAACAAAAAAAATCTTGATTCAACCCCTTGTTCATAACCCCTACTACACAGCTCTTACGTCTTACACCCCCAACCCCTGCTCCAGTTGATTTCAGCACATTACGCCCCACCTCGAGGCTCAGCGGGGGCTTCGAGGGGGAGGGGCTTGGCTCAGCCGCTGCAGAGGCGGGATCTGCCGCGCCTTGCGTTTGGAGTTTAAAACGCACGCATCTCGGATTCAAACTCTCGGGTTCATGGAGAAAGGACGTGTCTGCGGCTGGGAGGGTTGGGGGTTTAACGTCCCTAACTACCAGACCTCGGCCCTGAACTGTTCAAGCGAAGGAAGGGGAGGGATTCCCTCTCGTAGTGCTTCCCATACTCTCTTTTCCCCAACTCCGTTCAAAAAGGCACCAAATAACAGAAACCCTGGACTTTGTTTGACCAGACAAGCCTTTCCTGGGCTTGGCGAGCCTTTTTCGGCAGCTTCCACGGCAGGGTCCAGTATGGTCTAGATCCGGGAGCCGAAACAGCACCAGTGTGGCCTGCAACTGCGGAAGCAACCAGCAGTCAGAGTTTAACAGGTCTGGCCCGGCCTGCTTTATGAGCCCTGGGTGCTCCTCTCAAGAGGCAGCAATATTCCAGACCCAACCGGCCGGCGTGACGGGACGCGATGCTCGAGGATGAGCGCTGTTGGCCTAGCTGGCGCGTGAGGGATGCGCTCCCGACCATCCCGACCACATCGGTTGAAAAGCGGGGGCGATCACCGGACTGCCAGCGGCGGCTCTACGGCGACTGAGAAGTTGAAGCCCTCGTACACCCGGAACAAAGGAGCAAAGAGTTTAGGAATAAAAGGCTTGGAGCTGCCTTGGAAGTGGAGATTGCGCAAGGTGAAGTTGTCGACCACGGCCCGGAGGATGGACCTGTTCAGGGATTCGCTGTGGACCACCTCCACCTTCCCACCAGGGGTCCTAACGTGGCAACAGCTGTAGTTCCGCCCATTCCAGCCGTGGCCGGAGTCGATCAGATGTCCTTGCGTGGGATAGTATCCATTGCAGATGCGGTAGCGCTTCGTGGGCGGCATCCGATATTCAGGCAAGGTTACCCAGTCAGAATCAGGCGGTGGCGGTGGCACATGGAGCTCTTGTCGTGTGAAGTTGGGCGGAAACCGAACATACTGCAGAACCCAGGGCTCACCATCTGACCACGGCAGCCCCTCCGTGTCCAGGCTGCCCATGGCATAGAAATACCAAGTGCTCATTTGGTTGATGCCTGAAAACAAGTGCTTCTGGATGGCGTATCGGAGCCATATATAATCCTCAAATAAGGCGATATCGAAATCAGTCCAATCGTTGAGCACATCTAAACTGAGCACGCCGCCCATAGATCCCAGAGCACTGTATGTGAATGCTTGCCACTCCTTGTTAGCATCCCACCGGGATCGCCAGGTGATCTCACTCTGACACTTTCTCGGGAGGTACGGCGGGACGATTACAGCAACATCGGCCTCTGCATATGCTGCGTACGGGACGTCCTCTTCCTCCATCCAGGCACGGAGGACATAGTAGTTCAGAACATTGAACATTTCGAAAGGCTCTTTGTTGCCGCGGCAGCAGCCGCCCAACCACGTGCTGGCTGTCATGTCCAGCTTCTGTACGTAGAGCGATCGGAGCTTCAAAAACTTCGCGTCTGCATACTGCAGGTAGTCCTCGAGACGAAGGCCTTTTCGTGCAAAGGCCGGTAATCTTGCCTCGAATTTTGGCCGCAGAGACGGGTCGGTGAGTAGCACCACCGTTGGGACGTGTAGCAAGCTTACAGCCAGGGTCCGATAAAAGTAGTCTTGGACAACGCAAGGCCCTGAAATGTTCCAGGCCACTTTGTTCTCCTCATCAACCAGTGTGTCGCCACAGAACCACACGTACACCAAAGGAATCCCTCTTATCCGGCCCTTGCGGCCCTTGCGGCCCTTGCGCGGAGTATGCCTCGTAGGATGCCTCGTCGTGTTGCTGTGGTCATGCAGGGCAGGGACGAAGCCGATGACCGAAGCCTGGTCGCTCAACCAAAACGACGACAACCACAACAGCTCACAGCAACATCAACAGATTATGTAGCAGCTGCAGCAACAGCCGCCAGCATCAGAGCCAAGAACACCATGACCATCAGACCATCATGACCAAAAACACACATCGCCACCATCACCAATATTAGCATCAACCCCATCCTCGTGAAAACCGGCACCCTTGTCAGCATCAGTACCATCCCCAAAACTGACGCATCATCACTGTCGGCATCATAGCCAGCACAACACCAACATCAACATCATCGTCTACATCAACTCAACATCAATGTGGTCATCATCGTCGTCACCCTGTTTGCAAACACTGCCATCGCCAATATCCTACATTACAGTACGGTTGCGGCTACAGTCGTCATCATCCAACGTCTCCACCATCAGAAGCACGGGCAGCCGTCAACATCCTCACCATCATTACTTTGAGCAGCAGTGTCATCATCGGCTTAATATCAGTATAGCTAACATGATTTTCATTGGCATCATCAACATCACCACCGTCATACCATCATCGCGGCAGTCGCCACCATCACCATCATCGTCATCATCATCAGCAGCATCATTCTCTTCCCCATGCTACGAATACGAGCAAGAGTGGTGCGGATGATCATATCGATGCCTGGTCCCAGTACCAGGCCAAGAGAAACGTGAAAGGAATTGCAAGGAGCAAGCCAGCCGCAGCTGGTCGGGCGAACCGGTCGCAGCTCATGGCAGCTTCCAGAGGATGTGGGGTCTGTGTGTCGGGTTCTGGATCTTTGGGTCTCGGGTTCACACTAGGATCAGGAGTTCAAGACGACATTCTACACATGTGCTAAGGGCTTTGTTGAACGTGGCAACTTCGAAACCGATCTCTTCGAGAAGCATGCCTGCGACGAACGGTTTTGATTCTGCAGTCAGATGCGAAGTATTTACCAGAAAATTTTTGGCACATGCAACATCAATTCAGCTTTCAATCCAAAAGAACAGCAACCGAGCTGGAAAATACAAACCAAGCACATCTGAAACAGTCAATCTGGGATTGAGGATCCGATGGGGTGAGGTTGCCCTTTGCTTAGGTGTTTGAGGTTTACCCCCCTCTTAGCTGCTCAGCCAACTACCACGGATGTGGAGATAGACTCAGATAGACTTGGGGTGCAGGCTACTTGAGGATTGCATCTTTCTTGGGATCGGACAGATTGGTGCTGCAGCTGTTGGAGGTGGCGCACCTGCCATCGAGACACACTGTCTTGGGTGCCGGTCTCAACAGGTCCACGGTTCCTGTCTCTCGTGATTCGGGTTGGGGTATGCTTGCGGGGGTCAGTCCCGAACAGTCTTCATTCAAGGATGTCAGATCTGAAGAATGTAAAAGCTCGCACCCAAGGTTAGCCTTGCGCCCTGAAGCACGCTACAAACTCCATGCTTTGCAGCTACAAGCCCCTGCAACAGCAACAAACTCCCGAAACCGTCCACCCGCAGCCCTCAGTAGGCCCAAAGCGGTCTTTGCTAACACCTCCGACGCCAGAAGCCTCAGATACCTTGAGCATCTGAATCTGCTTCGTCCTACAAATCTATGGTTGCTTTGGAATCGACGGCTCCAGTAAGGGTTTGGGTTCGTCTACGACTCTACGACTTAGGCTTCAAATTTTTAGGGCTTAGGAAGTTAACACTTTCAATACCAGTTCTTTTTTGAATACCCCATCCGAAATTGAAATCCTTGCAGCACTGCTTGTAGTGTACCGCTACGCATGCCTACAAGATCGCACCACTCTGATGCTTTCAAACTAAAGGCATACCTTCAGTCAATACCCCCCACAACATGTTGTCAATAAAGGACTATCGTATGGTATATTCGGGTCCAAGCAATTCCTTCGTAAGGGCCGATTGCCAAGGCTCTGAAACCTCAAGACCTACATCCCTCCACTCGCTCCTCGGGCAAAGCTTCGGGTGACCTCCTGGAACCCAGTTAACACAAACGGCGGCTCCCCTTGCATTTCACTGATACCACCTAGTCTCTAAGTTTTGTGCAGAAGCAAACGGGGCTCGGCATGGGGGGGGTCGAGGAAGCTCCGTCCGACTATCGTCTGAGGGGGGTTGTTAGTCCGGAATTGGCATTAGCCTGACAGTCGAAATGTGTCATCCATGATTGAAAAATGAAGGTTTTGGGTTAGGCACGAGGATTTAGGGTTGGGATGTTTCAGGGAAGGTTCAGACCTCTTGCAAGATTTAACACATAAGAACCTTTACCCCAAACCCTGAACCCTGAACTCTAAACCCTGAACCCTAAACCCTGAAACATGAACTTTGCAACCCTATGCTTAAAAAACGCGACTCGATGACCGGGTTTCGATGCGAAAGCAAAGCAGCCATCGAAGCATGAACACGCCGACATCCTATAAGGGGTCCTTTCAATAAAGGGAGGAGTTGAGGGTTCCTTTACGAGGCTCCTTTAAAGGGCTCCTTTACAGAGATCTTCGAGGGTCGGCTAAGGATGTTGGGCGTGAGGTTTTGCTGGGTTTGGGGCTGAAGGTATGGCACTTAGGGTTAGGAGTTTATGGGTCAGGGATGTGGGGAGTCGTGGGGATTTGGTGTTTAGGGTGAGGGGTTCCGTGTTTAGGTTCTGGTAGTCGTGTCGGGAGTACTGTAATCGTCTTGTTCGTTGATGGTGCTGGTCCGCAAGCGCTAGAACCAATTGCTGCGAGCCAGGCGTGAAGGGTTTAGGGCTTATGGTTCAGGGCCTGCAACTTGGAGTATAGAGGTTCAGGGTTCAGGGGCATGGGGATTCGGTCAAGGAGCGATGCCTTAGACGTCTCTGCCTAGCTTGTGCAATCCCGAAACCCTGCAGATTTGGATGAGCAGTCCGGGAGCTTGAACAGAAAGACCAGGCTGCTTCTGCTTGGACACTGTAGTATGGCATACTATCGCAAAGTACAGCTGCATGGACATGAATCACAGGACCTGCGTGGGATGTCCCACAATATGGTAAAACGGGCACAGTGCTTTCACAAGGGCGGCACAATCTTAGTAGAGCACATACTGGGACCCTTGCTACGGGGCACCAAGAAACGCAAAATTGCCAGCCAGGATCTGCAGGAGTTACGTTGCGGCATTTTCGTTCCCTTATCGACCTCCCTTTGAACTCTTCCAGATAAGATCTGCAAAGATTTATACTATTGCCATTTCCTTCACGACCTCCTTCTACCCTCTGTTTCAAGCTGCTCCTACAAACATGGAAGCGAAAACCACGTGGCTGGGAGCGCAAGCTTTTGTGAAACTGGCCCGCCGGCACGCGTCTCGTATGCAGGCCTTTGTGCCAGAAGATGGCATGGGCTCAAGGCGACGAGAGAAGGCTCTCATATCGCCCTCTAGGGGCCTCAATTATCAGAGTAGGGCTTTGGGGCATCATATACACCAAGTACACTGCCGGCATCTCCACAAGCTTCACGGTCTTTCGGGAATCAGGCTTTTGTTCTGGGTCGCTCATCGATCGAGACTCAGTGAACCCCAGAGGGTCCTGTGAAGCCTCCTCACGTCGAACGGGTGAAGCACTGGGTACAGTCTAGTCCCAAATCTCACCTCATCTCAAACTGGGTTCAGGGCTGAGGCGTCAAACTCAGAACTCTGGGTCCCTGGGTTCACAGGTGGAAACCCGACACCCTCACCCATCATCAGCACGTCACAGGAAAGTGTCGCCAGCACGACCTCGGAAGCCAAGAGGGTGGAAGTTGAGCGTTTAGGGTACAGGCTCCTTTGAGGGTTTAGGGGTTAGGGTACGTCAAGCGCAGGGCTCAGGGTTCGTTGTTTAGGTCGTCAACCGCTGGCTTAAGGGCTCCACCTTTCGCTGCTTTTTCTAGTCTCTTAGCTACGAGGTTCTTGAAAATTAGGGTGCCGCCAACTGGAGGCTTCAAGGGCGTGCTTGGAGGTTCATGGGAAGTTATACGGGGTCCTTTAAGGGTCCCTTTGAAGGCATCTATAGGGATTCTATAAGGGTATAGGGTTTAGGGCCTACTTGGAGGTTCATGGGTAGTTATAAGTGGGGTTTTAACGGAGCCAGCCAGAGGATGGAGTCTTTCTCCAGAGATGCCAGATGCTCCAGAAACATTGTCAACCCAGCTCCTTCCGGAATGTTCTGTGCATTCGCGTCGTCCGTGGGATTTTCGAACGTCAATGGAAGCTGTGACCAAATCTTTCGCAGCCAGAGCCTCGCTGATTCTTCGGCTTGAGTGCGGCAAGCCGTCGAAGACGGACAAGCCACCCCTTAATAAGGACCCCTAGGTATATACTATTCATATAGCCATTATATACCCATTATAACCCATCACGAGAGGCTCTGACCTGGTCTGCCTGCTCAGGTCAAACAAAGTCCACCTTTCCTGTTTTCGCTGGCGGCATTGCTGCTAATCTGGCAATACTTTGCACCTCCGTTGTCCGCCAAAATGGGCTATAAGTATAGTTGCCCTACTTATAACCCTACTTATAACTACCCATGAACCTCCAAGTGAGCCTAGGTAAAGACTCTCAGGCGGCTTTGAAGCCCAGAATGTCGACTTACCGGACTCGTAAGGATTGAAGACGTGCAGTCGGTTTCTTGGGAAATGCACGCCGATGCATGAATCTTAAGAGGGGAATGGAGGGGATTGCACTTTCAATGATGTTGGTTCGCCGACCGTGTAGGTGACATCTTGAACGAGGCAGGCTAGCTGCGCATGGTTAACAAAACTCGGCCGGCACCAGAAACACCACGGTGAGCGCCAACTGCCCCCAAGCCAGAGACCCAAAACCCCAAACTCCACAAACCCAAACAGAATCCGTCGGAGTTTTCACTGAGAGCCGTGCGACGCGGACCCCTCGAGTGCGGGTCGAAGCTTGTCCCAAACGCGAATGGCAGCAGGCAGAAGATGCCCCTGACAGAGATCCTTATCCTACCATGGTCTGAATAAATAGACTGGGCGCGGTGCAGTAGTTTTTCTAGTTCGGCAGCGAAATAACTATGGGAGATCCTCATAGACACCAGGCTTTGGCCTACCGTATCGCTGATCATCTTTCAGCTCTGTGCTCGAACATACAGGCCGGGTTCACCTAAACGTCTGCGGAATGAGCATCTGGCAGTTTCCGAAAATCGGGGACCCTTATATATTACACTGAATAGTAGCATCCTTATTATAAGGACCCAGGTACCCCTAATTTTCGGAAACTCCCATCTAGCTTGTCGTCGTTATTCTTCGTCGCGTCGCAGTTGCTACCCATGAACCTCCAAGTACTTGGAGGTTCATGGGTAGTTATAAGTGGGTTATAAGTCCCAACCTAAGATGGGTTATAAGTATAGTTACCTTAGGTAAAAACCCTACTTATAACTACCCATGAACCTCCAAGTAGGCCTTAAACCCTATACCCTTACAGGAATCCCTCTAGATCCCGTTAAAGGGACCCTTAAAGGAGCCCTTATAACTACCCATGAACCTCCAAGGAGCGCTTAGGTTCAGCTTTGCCGTCCAAGCGTCTGCTGCTGCACGTCCATCCTCGGGATGCGCTCTGTGAGCTCAGAGGCCGCCCTCTACGGGCTCCTTAACCTTAAGAGTGGGTTCCTACAAGGGCTCCTGTACAGAACTCTAGCTCCAACATTCCGGCCTCCATACCAGGCATGAAACAAGATACAAGGAAGTTCGCCGTAAACCGATAGGTGCAGGGGGGCTTCAGGCTCTCCAGACTCGGGTTGGGCTTAGCACCCCTTGTTGTGAACTCCAGGTTAGGATAAGGCTTAGGTGCAGGATAACTCATCCAGGTCACATCTTCCCAAATGCGTGGCCACCTCGCTGCGCCTGCAGGCAGGGGGCGCATTCCATATTCAGGCTTAGGAGCCTACGGGTTTGACGGGTCTGTGCTTGGGGGATTTGCAGGGCTTCAAGATCTAGGAGATTTACATGGTTTTGCGTGCAAGGCTTCGGGTTTGGGAGGCTTCAGATTAGGTAGTTGGGGGGAAGTAGGGATTTTCAGAAACCGGAACCATCAATTTGGATCTACGCTTCACCCGCACGCAATGCCCCAAACACTTAAACATAATGTCCAAAAGCGAACCTGAAGAGCTTTCTGTGTCGGAAGAAGTTTGGTGATGAATTCTGCTACTCCATCCTCGATCGCTACCAAGAGCTTCGAGGCTGTCGGGATTTCAGGGTTCCTTAGACTGCTGTGGAGAAGCTTACGGACGCCGAATAGGCATCCCCTACTTTGAGGGTGGCGCACAGAAATTCAAAGCCACTGCCAGAATTTGTCGAAACCATGGATCCTAGACACGAGATTTATGCCGGATGTAGATCGAAACGCCTCACTCTTGCCAAACCTTCCCATCTGCCACAGAATCAACTTCCCAAACCTCACTTCCCCCGCTGCAAACCTGAAAAACCGACATCTCTGAAGTCCGACTTTGCCGGGGGGTGAACCCGAAAGATTCTGAGTGCCCGAAGGAGGCTGAAGACGCCCCCGAAGTCTTCGAACAAAAATGCCACAGACCACCCCCCTCCAAAGCCCTGAACTCTCAAGGTCCCCGACCCCGAAGTTAAAACCTAAGCCAACTGCCTCCATAATCTCTTCCTGTGTCGGCGGCTGCTCGCCGTCGTACCTCGGAAGTCTCGCAGAGGTCTGGGAAGAAAGTCGCGAGTGCTGTCTTCCACCACAGGGTTTTTCACCGGATGAGGGTTTAGGGTTTAGGGTGGTCCGGCTGAAGTCATGATAACCATCCTGCATACTTGTCTTGCCATTGCTACGTTCACACTCTCCTTGCTGACATTTGTCTATGACTTCGGCTTCAAGATGCGGGCTTCCCAGGGAACTGCGGTGGAGCAGTCGCAAGCTCTCAGTTATCCGACAAGAGTACACGAGAAGCACGTGGAGGAAACGAGAAAGGGATGTGCCGAGACTTCTTTGGTGATGCTACCAAAGACCTTGTCTCAGTGACCTTACTAATCGTCGGTGAACAGTCTTCCGACGAGGGAGGCTGAAGACGAGAATCAAGATGACGGCGACAAGGCCCTCCAAATCAATAACAGGGTCGCAGCTGACGGTACCAAACGCAAAACGCTAACATCCTCCAACTCCTAAGGCCCCTCAGCCCTAACCCCTAAAGACCTAACCGAAAGCCCGAGGACACTTGAGATCCCGACTCTTCGGGCACTTCGTTCTCATCCACGACCTCCTCATCCAAGAGGCCACCTCCACATAGGAGCCCTACATTCCCGGGTTCCGGGTTTAGGGTTTAGGGTTTTAGGGTGTTTTATTTACGCCTTTTTCCTCCTGCCCGATCTGTAGGGTTTTGCCCGATCTGTAGGGTTTTAGGGTTTAGGGCTTAAGGTTTAGAGTTTCGGGCTTCAGGGTTTAGGGTTTCGAATTGTAGGGTTTAAGGGTTTAGGGTTTAAGGTTTAGGGATAGATTCGGGGCCTACGGCCTATGGCTTTGGCTTCGAGGTCCCAACCTTGAACCTGAGGCCGAGGACCGAAGCCCCAAACTCGTCGTCCAGGTCCGAAAACCGAGACCCGGAGACCCCGAATCTATCCCTAAACCTTAAACCCTACACCCTTAAACTTTAAACCCTTAACCCTAAACCCTACCTGAAAAGCCTTGAAAGTGGAAGTTTTTTTCTGCCGAAAAGCGCGAAGGAAGGCAAGTCTCACGATTAGGATTCAGGGGCTCTTTCCTCTCAGGCTCAGGGTATCGGAGCACTTACGGTTTAGGGTTTATGGTTTGGGGTTTAGGGTTTGGGGTTTAGGGGTTTAGGGATAGACTGTAGGGAACCTTCACGCTTGCCCTGTTCTCGATGGTTCAACATCTCTGCAATCTCGACTCCCTGAAGCTCGAGGCACCAGAAACCAAGTCAACGCAAGCATCTGACAGTGAAGGTCTCTGGAAACCTCTTTTTTCGAGGGGACCCTAATTTGGGGCCACATACTGCTAAGGGTAGTTACTTTACAGGAACCCACAGCCAAGATCTTCTTAATCGTCTTCGGCAACAGCTTCCGACTGCAGGAAAGCCTGATGGCGTCCAACGAGTCTAGAGGAGCCCTGGTTGGAGAAGGCTGTAAACCTAGCATGTGAGGCCCCAGCCTGCCAGGGAGGTGGAGTTCGAACCAATCATCAAGCCTGTGAGTTGAGTCGGATTTGGTGTACTTTGAGTGACCCTTCCGAACACCTCGAAGTCCTTCCTTCAGGACCAGTCCTATGGTTCGTTTAACAGGGGGTTGAACCAATCTGCCAACCGGGTCCACGGAAAGCGCGTGACCTCCGAGGTTCGAAAAGGGACTTAAGTCTCTTGAAGACTCTCAGTGATGCCGTTAGGCGTTACGGAAAGGTTGTTGGTGTCTGGCTGGGGTGATCCTAGAAGAGTGCCGGTGATTCCGACATATGGCTTGCAGGCGCGGCTGCTTTGCTAATGCCTGGAAACATGCTACTTGTGGTGCACATAGAACTTGAATCCGCATCGTGACTTTCATGTCATCAACGCCTCAAGGTGCTTTCAAGGCTTGACACTTCATGGTGCTTCGCCCAAGGCTTTTGGGCCTATTGGCCTAAATCCTCCAGACCCTAAAACGCAACCCCAACCCGAACAGTCTAAAACCACCTGAATTACAAGCCCGAAACCGACGCTGTGTCTGGATCTACGATCCAAGGGTCCGTGTTCTCGCGAGCACAAGCCTTTTCTAGGTTTTGGATGGTTTGTCCTGTTTAGGGTTTACGGGTTTAGGGGTTTAGGGTTTAGCCTGCTGATGCAATGAACATGTAGATCCCCTCCTGGGCTACGAGTCTAACCAGCAGAAGAGGGCCCGAAACACCCCACCCTGTACCTCCAAGCCTGGCGTGTGAGGCGGCATTTCCCACTGCACATGGTCATCGCCCGCCGTATCCAGGGAAACAAGCCTCACGACATCAAGCTTATCTCAAGGCCTACGGAGGTTTGAAGGCTTAGCAATGGCATGTCATCCCAAAAAGCGTAGTCTAATTCTTCATGCCCATGCGTTTAGCCCAAACATCGAAGTTTAGAGCCCCATGAGAATAGAAGCTAAAGCCCTACTCCAACTCTGAAGGCTGGCGAGGCTAAAGGTTGGTAGAACCCATAGAAGCCGTAAACCCCCAAAACCCTGAACCCGCAAAGGAACCCTTAACAGAACCGCCAAAGGAACCCTGGACACAACCCTTGCAACCCCCCTTCAAGGCACCCTTAAACATGTTAAAGGAACCCTAAACACCTTTTTTGAGACACCCAAAACCCCTAAAGGAACCCAAAACCCCTCAAGGAACCCTAAACACCTAAAGGAACCCAAAACCCCTGAAGGAACCCAAAACCCCTCAAGGAACCCTCAACACCTAAAGGAACCCAAAACCCCTAAAGGAACCCAAAACCCCTCAAGGAACCCTAAACACCTAAAGGAACCCAAAACCCCTAAAGGAACCCAAAACCCCTAAAGGAAACCCCAAAAGTCCGATAGGACACTAACCCTTGTCGCAGTAACCCTTTCAGGAACCCTGTAGATTCCTTAAAGGAACCCTAAAGATCCCTTAAAGGAACCCTGTAGATTCCTTAAAGGAACTCTAAAGATCCCTTAAAGGAACCCTGTAGATTCCTTGGGGCCACAAAGGAAGCCTCTAGATCCATTATCTTAAAAGTCTCTTTCCGAAGGAACCCTCGGGCCTCTGTGGCGCGGGCATCTTCAGCCTGAGGAGCTCATGGGGTGGAGTGGATTTCAGGCTCGGGGGTGTTGGGTTTTTTTTGTTTGGGGGGCGGCTCAGGGGTTGAGGGGATTTGGGGACTTGGGGGTTTTAGGGTGTTTCTTTAAAGCTCCTTTTTCCGCCTGCAATATCCGATGCTATATCCAGAAGACCCAGGGGTCAGGAGAGGAAGCTTCACCCTTGAAGACCCCCTAGCTAGCCGAGTGCCCTTACCGCAGCCCGCCAGCACTCAAGCAGCACAAATCGCAGGCTGTAGGGCTTTAGGGCTTTAGGATTTGGGGGTTTACGGGTTTCGGGCCTGTCGGGTTTATAGGGTTTGGGGCTTCAGGTTTAGAGTTTCCGGTTTGGGGCTCGAGGGGGTTTTGGTCAAATGTAGGGATCGCTGAGCTAAGATTTGCATCCCTACGTCTCGCTACCGGTGCCTTCAAGTACAGCGTAGGATTTCAGGCCAGGGGGCTGCTCCCTGGAAAACCCCAAAACCCGAAACCCCAGAATCCTACAGAACTGACAGTAACTAACCTAGGACCTAGCGCAGGGACTCCAGGTGTTCGAATGCCTCACGTTCTTCACCGACGCGGCGGGTGGTGCGAAGAGAAACGTCTGCTGTGGCACCTGGCGGAAAGCTTCAAGATCACCCAAAATCCTTGACACGCTCACCTGCACCTTCCTAGGGGCCTTTGAAACCCAAAACAGCCTTCCACACCGCATCTGTCAGCTCCGGTTCAGGTCGCAGGGAGTCCCAGCATGCAGCACAGGCTTCTGGCTCTAGGGGTGAAGGTCTACTCCCTACGCCCAAGGACCCAAGGACCCTTATGCTGGAGCTGGGTCCAGAGCCCTTCAGCTGCTTGTGCTGGGACAAATCGATATTGAGGCCGAAAAAAGCTTTACAACGGTTTCAAATCCCAGAAGCTGAGATGCCCAGAGTTTCGGCAGCTGGTTCCACGAACTCATGGCGCAAACGTGTGCTTTCCAGCTTTCCAGGCCAACAAGAGCAAACTTGAACTTGAAGCTGCCGACAGCGTATCACTGACCCTACACAGGCCGCCCGAAAAACCCTGAACCCCTGGCCCATAGCCTTAGTGAAACCCGTTATGAAGGGTTTATGTAACCCTACAACTCGATTGAATGAAAACCCTCCCTAGAAACAAAGGGAACTCGCCTCCGCGGACTCCGTCACATCGACCTCCACTTTGGGAGCTTTGCCCGGTGGCTCGTCCTGCACTTCGAAGCATCGTCCAAGCCCTGTAAGGGTTAGCGTTTACGTTTCGAACCATCTAGGAATATGCCAGCCAAAAGCGGACTTGGCGTCGGGTGTAGAGAGTCTTCCAGGTTGAAGACCGTTCCGCTTTGGCGATCAGTGCTTCGGGATTTGGTATTATCGGGGTTGGGATTTGGGCTTCCTAAACCCTTCATTCGAAAGCCCAAACCCGAACCCCCGAACCTTGAGCCTGAATCTTAAACCGCTAGGTTTGGGGATTTGGGATTTGGGCCATGCAGTCTCGGATTCAAGGCTTCAGGTTGCTCGGGCTCTAGCTCAAAGCTTCGGGACTCACTGAAGGCTTCATATAGGGGCCTAATTATTCAAGAATAGAGTTTTGGGGCTCATTATATGCTGTAAGTATATGATGAGGAAGACCACAAATAGTACTGGTAATAATTCAGTCTCCACCAAAATCATGATGCAAGTACGGTAAGTGGAGGCTATAGTCCACAAAAGGGCCCTGTTCCACTCGCGGTTAGGTCCCTTTACTCCTGGCTTTCCTTCGCTCCACCCTCATTCCCTGATCCACAACCCCAAAACCCTCAACCTTAGCACCAAAGCCTAAACTTCAAGACCCCCGAACCCCAACCCCTAAACCATCACCCATAAAGAAGCCTGTCTACACAAATCCTGCAGCCTGGACGACAAGAGCTGCGCAAAAAAGACCTCATAATACCCAGGCACTCCAATATCCCTTAATTGGGGAATATGCCTCAAAACATATTTGGGATCCCACCATACTTTAAGGAATGTTTCTAAGGGATCTTGGAGTCTCTGGGTATACGCCGCTCCCACACTTGGCGGATCATGGGACTTAGTAAGTATGGTTATAAGTACCTTAATTGGGGCTATAAGCATTTCTAAGTACAGTTACCTGAATTATAACCACAGTTACTAAGTCCCATGATCCTCTAAGCATGCAATCCCTTTAAAGGAACCCTATAAGCCCCTATAGATCCCCTTTAAGGGAACCCTAACTCTCTCATCCTCTAAGCAGTCCTCCGCTGAGACCATCAACAACCGCTCCCTTGCTTTGGGGAGCGGGGGACCTCGAAGGCTCTCGGGTCTTGGGGGGGGGCTTAGTGGGTTTAGGGCTTTGGGGATTTAGGGCTTTAGGGTTTTAGGGTTTAGGGCTTAGGGCTTTAGGGTTTAGGGCTTAGTGGGTTTAGGGTTTTAGGGTTTAGGGCTTAGTGGGTTTAGGGTTTAGGGCTTTAGGTTTTAGGGTTTAGGGCTTAGTGGGTTTAGGGTTTAGGGCTTTAGGGTTTAGGGTTTTAGGGTTTAGGGCTTAGTGGGTTTAGGGTTTAGGGCTTTAGGGTTTAGGGTTTTAGGGTTTAGGGCTTAGTGGGTTTAGGGTTTAGGGTTTAGGGTTTAGGATTAAGGGTTTAGGGTTTAGGGTTTAGGGTTTAAGGGTTTAAGGGTTTAGGGTTTAGGGGTTTAGGGGTTTAGGGCTTAGGGAATTCTCTCGGTTCTTGTTAAGGGGAACATTTCAAGGTACCAGAGTCGGGATCTAGAGTAAATCATGGTGCTTTCCTTGTTCTGGTGACTTAAGTGACAGCTTCTGGTTTGGGTTCAGGGTCCGGGGTTTTGGGGTCCAGGATTTAGGGTCCGGGGATTCCAGATTTGGGGTTCTCGCCATTTGCCTACTCTAGCGGGCTCTGCTCTCGGTTTTGGCGGTTTACTTCTTACCATCTAATGCTCGGAAGGCTGCAAAGAAGCAGATAATAAGGAGCCTACTGATCAGACGCGCCAAGAGTGAGGCTGGACAAAGCGGGCCAGGGGCTAAGCCTTGCGACCCGAAACAAACCCTACCCTGCTCCCGAATCCTAAATCCTGAGCTCCACACAGGGCGGGCACTTCACCGGCTCCGGTGCTCCTCCTCCGGAGTTCTTCGCGAATTTGGCAAGGCTTAGGGGTATGACAGGGCTTGTTGGGGGTGGGGGTTCGTAAACGTTTCAGGCCTAAGCGAAACCTCGAACTAGACCAGGGTTGCTGCGCACTCTACATGAGTGGATCAGGGCACCCCACAAAAACATCCCAAAAACACTACGAGTACCGTTTGCTTAAATTCAGTCCCCCAGATCAACCGCACCGGAATAGGGTCTTTGCTTTGGCTTCGGGGTTCAGGGCTCCGGGCCTCCAGGTCTGGGATGTAATCTTCAGGCTTCTACTTGGAAGGGCAGGGGACTTAGTAAGTAGGTTATAAGTAGGGTTATAATTGGGGTAACTCCATTTAGGGTACTTATAACTCTACTTATAACCTACTTACCAAGTCCCCGCCCTTCCAAGTAGGGTCTCAAACATCCCCACTTCTGGGTGTGCCCTCATTCCCAGAAATCTTTGGAAACCTTGTGCCCAAATCGAGATCCAGGTTCGAAACACAATACCTTAAACAAAACACCATTTTAAGCTCCGACAAGACAGAAACGACGTGGTAGTGACACAACTTATGGAAGCAATAGTGTATGCAGGTAATAGCAACCACCGGCATTGCCGTAATAGTATTTCATCAATTCGTATCTGGTACAGCACTCGAACCGCGCAAATGCTAGCTGCTAGCATGCATGCAACACCTAATTCAAAATCGAGTACGAGCGCCTGTACTAACTAGTACAAATTCTCGCACAAACGCAAGTACCAGCAGTAGTGAAGAAAGTGGTGGTAAAAGTTGTACTAGTAGCAGCAGCACCAGCAGCAGCAGCAGCGGAAACAGCAGCAGGACTGGTACGAGTGCTGATGACAGTGCACAAGTACTAGCACTAGTACGTAGCAGTAGTAGTCGCCATCGTAGTAGTAGTAGCAGTAGTATTAATTGGTAGTAGTCGTCGTCGTCGTGGCGGCAGTGGTGGCGACAGCGGTGGCGGTGGCGGTGGTAGCAGTAGAAGCAGCAGCAGCAGCAGCAGTAGCAGTAGCAGTAGTACTGGTAGCAGATTGCTCATGAGACTTGAGGCTATTGACACACAACTCCCGCTTACCCTATCTTCGCGTTATTACGATCACTACCCTTCTTTTGCCGAGCAGCCCATTGGCCCACCGGGCCCATAGTAACCACCATCCCCACCCATCTCAGCCTCAGCCTCCTGCTTGGGTCCAAAAAAACGGCTTTGTGTTTCTGCTCGGGCTGTTGTTTTGGGGTTTGGGCTTGTTCTTGAGGAGGGCTGATGTTTTGGGGTTTTGGCGTATTGCCGTTTGGAGGTTGAAAGACGGGAGCTTCATGTGAGTGTCACCGCCGTCACCCGAAGACCCTATCCCAAGCCCTGCAGGCATCTCGAGTTTGGCGAACCGGCCGAAAGCAGCTGGCGGCCCGAGAGTTAGTTTCTTAGAGGCTTAGGATTTAGGGTTCCTCCGAAAACTCGACACCAAAACACGTTCCTTACGTCTCGCAAGCCTGCCCTTCCCACACCAGGCTCCTGGACCTCCGGTGGCGGGGCGGGCGGCGGGGACACGATCTGCCCTGCAGAACGGTCTAGCTCAATGTGCGAAAGCAGGGTACAAGATCCTCTCATGCGTGGCCCTGCGTAAACAAGCAAACAGCAAACCCTAAACCCTCAATTCTTGCTTTAAGTCTCTTGAACTTGGTTCCAAAGTGTGGGAGGTGAGCTCTTTGGCTCTTCGCCTCCGGGAAACAGCCGGAAAAAAGTAGCCCTGTTGCATGTTGCACCCCATTCCATAGATTTTAAAGGGCTTAGGGTTAGTGCAAGGGCTACTATCAGGAATACTACTTGGAGGATCATGGGACTTAGTAACTGTGGTTATAATTAAGGTAACTGCACTTATAAGTACTTATAACCCCAAGTAAGGTACGTATAACCATACTTACTAAGTCCCATGATCCTCTAAGTAGAGGGGTTACTATAGGATTTAAGGCTTTAGGGAACCCCACAGCTGCAACCTATCAAGTGTCAAAGGCAGTGCGGAACCTGAAGAACCCTACGTCTCCCCAAAGGATACTTGGAGGTTCCTGGGTAGTTATAAGTAGGGTTATGTAGGGTTATAAGTAGGGTTATAAGTAGGGTAACTATACTTATAACCCATAGTAGGGGATTTATAACTCCAGCGAAAACTACCCATGAACCTCCAAGTACTGAAACGCAGCTCGCGCGCGCGCAATGCAGCCCGGCTATTCTAGAGCAGGTGGTAGCGCTTCGGGTTTAGGACTTACAGTTCAGGTTTGGAGCACATCGGGCGTATGTCATTTCGAACCAGAGGACCCAGTTTTCATGATGCTTTTGTGTTGGCGAAGGGCAGGTATCAAGGTCGAAACATGTAGAAGTGGGGGGTCAGGATACGCAACACGCATCATCTGTGGAATACTTCGAGAGCCCAGAGTCTTCAATATCCCTAATTTGAGGGATATTAATACAATGAAGGCTAGATTATGCTACATTGCTTGATGAAAGCATTTTGGAATCTCTGCGGCTGTGGGCTTTGAGGGCTCAGTTCTCTTCTAGTTCTCTGGATCCCCATCCCCTTAGCTTCAGGATTTGAGCATTTGAGCGGGCTTTGGGTGCAAGATTTGGGTGTTTCCGAAAATGGGGGACCCTCATATAGTAGCCCAAATTGTAGTATCCTTATTGTAAGGACCCCAAACCTCCCATTTGGGGCTTAGCACAGCCGCTCTTTCCTCTTTCATTGTTCACTAGACTTCGCCCCCAAGCCCAGGCGTCCCTAGCTTTGAACCTAAAATCATGCCATCAGCTGCAGGACTTTGGGGTATGAAGGTCCGAGAACTCCTGCCTGGGCTCGAAAGCCCAAGTCCTGAACCCTGAACTCTAAGCTTTGAATCTGGAAACTGAACAAAACATCAGGCTGATCCCTAAAATCTAAAGGCACTAGACTCCCGATATAGAGGTCAATTTCTCTGTAACCACATTGTACTTATTCCCCGCTTGGTCCCATATCATGTTAACAATGTAACATACACCTCGACACCCTAGTCAAACGGGAGTTTCCGAAAATTGCGGGTGCCTTATTTTGGGGAAGGATCCTATTATTTAGGAACTCAGCCCTCGTACTCGCTCCTTTTGCACATGCTTGCAGTGTGCACAGGTAGCGCATGGCCACTTCGTGGCCCTTCCGCCGTGGATGGCGGGCGGGAGGGCGGGTTCTTGAGCCCGCGAACCACGGGCCTCGTTCCTATCTCTTTCAGGAACTCAGCCCTCGTACTCGCTCCTTTTGCACATGCTTGCAGTGTGCACAGGTAGCGCATGGCCACTTCGTGGCCCTTCCGCCTCCACCCAATCCCCACTTACCGCGGGCGATCGCCATAACCACGGCTGAAGAAGAAAAACCATTTGCTCGATGGCACTCCTGAAGCATGCAGGCTCCGAGCCGCCTCCACGACGTGGGGGAAGGAGTGCATGAGCCGAAAAATTGTCTGCTTGACCTCGTGACGCAGCAACGGTAGAAACAAGACGGCCGTCACCTCCTGTACGTAGATCTCCATGATCTTGTGGTTGAGCCACCTTCCTCTACGGCGTACAAGCTCGCTGTCTTCAGAAACTTGCATCAGCCACGTTGCCCCGCCTGCTCTAAGGCTGCCGAGGTCGAGCTCCTTTTTGTTGCCCGGGACGTTCAAGTCGAGAGCGGCAACAAGTTGCTTGAAGCGGTTTCGCAAAGACTGACCCGACATAGGCCACAGCATCGCCCCAGGGGCGAGGTCTCCCAAAGTAAAGGTTACAAGCTCGAGGAGGTCGGGTTGGTCTAAGCGAAGCGCTTGGTGTCTGGCTGCTCGGTTCCTGGTCTTTGGCTCAAGTACTGAGAGCAGAGCAAAGGACGCAGTTTCTTCAATGTCTTGTGGCAAAACAAGGTCCCTTCGCCTGGCTGCGAGGACCTCGCCAATCCTGGCAAGGCCTCCCCAGGCCAGTGCGAGTACGCCGGCGACCCTTGGCCAGCCCCAGATAAGGCACGTCGTCAGCATGCCCAAAAGGATCTGCCAAGGCAGAGCATGATGGTGCATGTGGGGCTCACGACGGAGCCAGTTGAAGGCGATATCCCAGGTAGGCTGAAGTAACCTGCGTACCTTCGGCAGCTTTGCCGAAACCACGTTAACTGTCTCAGAGAAATGGCCATATGGCCTCCCCGATGCAAACAGCTCCCTGCCAAAACGTGAGAGGACTGCATTCAGACTGTCGATGTCGAGGACACCTGCAGAGTCAACGACGTCTAGCCCAATCCCAGTGTCCTGGAGCCAGGTGGTGAATTCGCCCCATAGCTTCTCACGTTGTTTCCTTGTGGTTTGCTCGACGTGTCTCGCCGTAGTCAGATAAAAGCCTTCTCGCCGCGATTGGCGTGCTCGGTCAGCTGCGTTCCTGGGCTGAAGCAGTGGCGGCACGTCAGGCGGCATTCCATGGCAGCAAGGGATCTGACAGACGACCAGACAGGAGAGACACAGGACAAAAGAGGGGAGCAGAGCACCAGGACCTTCGCCGGGATACCCCAAGGTAGAGTCGAAATCGGTTGAGGCTCGGCAGTAGAGCCTAAAAGACCAGGTGGCATACCGCTGCCCCGAAGGCTCGGTAGACGGGGGACGGAAGCCGAGAAGCAGGACAAGGCGAACCCAGCCGGACGCCCAGCGCCGTACACGGGGCAGTGCTGAGCGAGTGCAGCTGAGGAGCTCCTGCCTTTAGAGATGGCGCACCTGGAGACAGCGAGGCGAAGCGGAGGTTTCCTCCTTGCGCTGCGAGCCGCTTTAAGAGTCGCCCATAGGTGGAAGTTTCGAGGATATTGATGTGGACAGGCCGAGGCCAGGTCCAAGCTTTCTCGAGGTCCCACTTTGTAGATCATTGACCCAGGCGTTTTCCAAACCTCCAGCCTCAATGTCGAGTCTCTGACGGACCCTCAGCCTGCCAACGATCGCTGCCTCAAGGTCGGCCGCGATCTCTTCAGCAAGATTTGCACCGACATTTGGGAAACTCCTTTGAGGAAGCAAGCCGTCTTGCTGGCCCCCGTCGGCTGGGTCCGAAAAGGCACTGCCCGAGGAGGCGTGAGCCGATGCCCTTTCGAGAGGTGTGCCGAAAACAAGCGCCCTAAGTTTCGGGCTCCCGTGGCTGGGAGGTGTCTCGCCAAGGAGAATCTCACGGACTCCCCGTTTTTCGTGAAAGGGCCCACCAAGAGGGCGTTTTGGCAAGCAAACTGCTGGCAGGCTGAAGCAGTACAAAGATCACCCCGCAACTGTGACACAGCGATGCAATCAGAAGTGCTCGGAAGGCTGCGCCTAAGGAGCGTTCGGCCCTGGACCGCCTTCGAAGGCCCTGGAAGAGGCGGAAGGGCGGAGCATGATTGACTCAAGTCGGCCCGACTCAACCAGATGCAAGAGCCAACCCAAGGCGGGGCCTGAAGTCAGGTCGTAGGCCGGCGCGACAGATGGATGCAGGTTGGGTCCCACGTTCCAGCCCCGACTCCGCATGCTATCGGCAACCGCCGTCGCTCCAAAACCGATCTCAATGAAAGCAAAGCTCAGTCCAAGGGGACGGGAGGGCGAAGCAACAGGAGAGGCACCGACAGGTTGATCGGCAGTCGAAGGGACCTCCTCCCAGTCAGGGTCGATCCTCCGAAGGCACAGGAAGCATGAGGTCGGCGACGGCTGGGTATGGCAGCGGAGGTTCGAGCTAGCAGCTCGGCGACGGCACTCGACCCAGCGAGGGACTCCACAGCGACGGGAGGGTACAGGATGTTGGTTCTCGCTCGGGAGGTAGAGGCCCACATCTGATGATTTGATGATAGAAGTCCCGCCTGTCCGTGACCGTGACTGCAATGTACTCGGACCTGGCATCTGCATAAAACCCAAGCAGAGCGGTGCCTGTGGGGAGGCCACTTGACGCCACACGCAGAGGAGTCTCGGCAAAATTCCTTGCCCGTCTGTCTCCTATTTGTCTGTCTGTGGTGGCATTTTTCCTGGCGTTGAAGATCCTGACATACAGGTGGCCCTGCCCATCTGGGAGCCCCTTTTCCTCAAGGTGAAGTAAGCCCTGGCGGCTCCAGATGTGAGCAAGAGATCGGGGCTCTCGCGGCTGCAGTCCGGCCTTGCATCAGGTGGGCACTCAGCCCCATGGAAGATGCAGTCTGGCTCGAGGTGGGGCAGGGCAAGGCTGTGAGGAAGATACCCCAGTGGGTGCCTGAAAGTTTCAGCCGGGCGGCGTTTAGAGGCCCATAGGGTGAGAAGTCCGGCCTTTCCGCAGGGAGCTCCCTTCCGAGATCCGGGTTTTCAGACCGGTCAGCGGAGGCGTAAAGGCCGTTGTCCGGGGTAGCAGGGCCCTCAAGTGAGCTCGGCGGAATTGAGGCTTCTGAGTACTGGAAGGCCAATTCGACCGTGCTCATGGAACCGCTCGGCGGAATTGAGGCTTCTGAGTACCGAAAGGCCAAGGCCAATTCGGCCGCTCCCTTTTTAGGGCTCGTGGCACCGCCGTAGGCATCCACATCATCCTCCTGCGAGAAGCCAGGAAAAACGCAGGAGTATGGATCAGCGGCGGGCCCCTCGGACGAGAGGGCGGCCCAAACTTGCAACCAATTCGCGAGAACGGCGCCCGGCATCCTCAGCTTTGAAAGACACCGCACCGAACGCCTGCACGAACGACTCAATCTGCTGGAAGGCTTGCTGCTGCGCAGGATTGGGCCGTCTCCGCAACAAGTGGATGGGCGTGGGCATGCGGCCGGCATGCATGTAGTTGAGCGCCACAACTATTATATGCACCATCCTCCTGCGGGCCTGCCTCTTTCTCTCGCGACCAGAAAGACCACGACGGCAGCCAAAGATGCCTGGAAAAGGGACAGGGAGCGGGAACAAAGCGTTTGGGGGGGCATCACGCCCACACCCGATGTGCAAAGATTGACGCAAGGCGGCAGCAAACGGCACCTTGGTATGTAATATACGGGGCACTAGGCCGTTCACCCAGGCCACAAAAGAAAACAGACGCTGCTCGGAAGGCTCTTCGGGCTTAGGGGGGTCAGTCGGGCCTAAACCACTACCTGCAACCGGGGCGAGATTCAAACGGCCCCTTAGCACCCCCGGCAGGCTGAGCAGCAGCTGCTGAAAATTCTGAGCTCTTTTTGGATGCATTGGAGAACCCATGTGGCGCTCCACACCGGCGGGTCCCGCCTAGGCCTGACCATCCTTCGGCTTTCGCGGGAAGCGGCGGCGGGGATTCTTTGGAGGCTCCGTCTCCCCTTGCTTTGGCTTGGCTGTGCTTGCTGAAGCTTCCGCACGGCGGGTTGCCAGGGCGTCGATCTCTTTTACAAAAGCCATGGCAGTCGTGGCCCACACTTGTGGACACAGCGGCCCGAAAGCCCTCAGGCGAGGGTTCTGTGACGGAGGACGGGCAGCAAAAATCGAGGCCGGCGGGTCCTCGAGAAGGCACAACAAATAAGCTACATCCCATTTGCCGCCGTCTAGCACACTCTGTTCCAGTGCCACCATGCAGAATGCCAGCATGTCTGAGGCGCCCTTTAGGTCTTCGGCAAGCAGGGCATTGGCCACATTTGCCAGGATCCACATCATAAGCCCGGCCTCCCGATGCGACCCAAAACCGCCTGTTCTTTCGATATAGGTGGTGAAAATGGAAGGCCGGGAGGCGTAGGCATCTGAAAGGGTAGCGGGGACCTGCTCCGCTTGCCTGCTGCGCCACCTGAAGAAGGAAGTTTCCCGACCTGGCTGCGAGCTCCTGTTGGAGCCTCTCGCGCCGGGCTGGGCCTCGAGTGCTGAGGGCTGAGCTTCCCGCTGCTCCGAGGGACAGCGGATCGGACAGCCCGTCCGCTGACACCAGATGCTGCACAAGCTGGCTCAAGGCCCGAGACTGCTCCAGCACCGCATTCGTGATTGGATCCTCCCTTACAGGGACGTTCTCCAGAATCTCCTCCTCCTCGGGCTCGAGCCCTCTCCCTCCTATGGGCCCAACGCCAGCCGCATCCTCCGCTTGTGGCTGCGGGTCTCGAGCGCGGGGCGGCGGCCCGACCATACCAGTGAGGGAGCGGATCATATCCGGTGGCATGGGACCCTTTGACTGAGGCGCCATGAAGCGTGCCTGATGCGGCTTTGGGCCAGCGCCTGCTGGGGTCTTCGCCGTTAGCTGCGCCTCCAGAGACTCCTGCCTTTGTGCCAGGCCCGCCACCTGGTTTGAGAGGGTCGGCAACAAGGTGGTCAAGAGCTCTATCTGTTCTTGGAGATGGGCCGTCGTGACCCGCTTCGGCTGTCCCGGCTCCCGTCGCGCACGAACCTTTGCCTTTGCCTTTCCCCCGCGAGGCCGCTCGGCGTCTTCCTCCTCTTCCACAGCAGAGAAAAAGCCAGGCGCTCGCCGACCGGGCCGGTGGAGGAGGGGTGGGAAATCTGGGAACACACTCCCGTCGGGCAGGAAACCTGTGCACTCCACTCCATCCGTGACAGGATCGGCGCGGCGGATGCAACTGCCGATGTCCTCGTTGAAATCTACAACCAGGACGCTTATCTCCGCACCCAAAGGCTCCAAGGATCCCTCCTCCGTCTGGCACTTGTAGCTCTCTCGAGGGCCCCACAAGCCTGTCGGCTGCACCCGCGTTTCCTGGCTGCAGCTCGACTGGAGTCAGAGCACCTGAAGGTAGGGCGAGAAGAAAACCCCCAGGCCTTGTCAAGACTGGCACCGCAAGATAAGATTGCTGTGGCGCTGTAGGCGGCCAAGATAAAACCAACACCCCTAGACCATAAGGATCTTCCAGGAATTCGGACACCAGCTCCATTATGCCCACGAAGGGAAGGGCTGCGAGGCTCCCAACGCGTGCACTCTAGCCTCTCCTTCGGTAGGGAAGCCGTGGCAAATCACGCCTGATCCCCTGAGCCTGCCTGTGGCCCGGGAGAAGGAAGTAAAATTCCTGAAGGCAGCTGGCTCACGATCGTCGCCAAAACTCAGGACAATGTAGAAGTTCGACCTGACCGAAAGGTGGGGAGTGGGAGGCACAACCTCGAGCGTTCCTGTCAAGACCTGGCCGGCGTGAAATCCAGCAACCCAGGCACGGGACCCTCGTGGTCCGCGGTCTGCAGCACGCAGGCTGCGCACAAGGAACAGGGAGTAATGGGAGGCGGCACACGGGTTTCTAGGGTCCTAGGGGGGTCTAGGGTCCCAGGGGGTCGGGCTCCGGCCGGAGATGCGCTAGGGCAACCACTACGAGGGGGTCTAGGGTCAGAGGTGGAACCCGAGGAAGCCGGCTCGGTGACCAAAGTCCACTCAGAATCCCGGTCAACAGCCAAAGAAAGGCGATTGATGGCCTGTGATAGAGAGTGGATTGCGGCAGACAGGTCCTCAGTCGGTGGAGCCCTGTCTCCCATGCAAATAGGGACGGAGTCGGAGAGCAGAGGGACGAGCCAAATCCGGGCTCGGAGATTGAGGGGCCAAGACAGGCCGGCAAAAGAGGGAGTCCCGAAAGAGGTACAGCACAAGTCCGGCACCCAAAGCAGCACCTGAAAGGAGAGCAAGGGAGAGGACGACAAGAGAAGACGAGCAATGAGCAGGACAACCGAGGCCCCACCAGTTACTCGACGACCCGGACACCACAAAGCTAACCAACTGGGGCACCCAGTTCATTCTTGAGCCCGCGAACCACGGGCCTCGTTCCTATCTCTTTCAGGGTACTATATTAGGGTCCCCTATTTTCGGAAAATCCGGACAAAGGCCTCCATTCTCCTTGATCTGCTTCGCTTCCTCGGGCGTCTCCTGAAAAAAGTCTCGAGGCTTTCTAGGGCTTTTCAGAGTAATATTCGAGTATAGTATAGTATATGATAGTATATTAAAGTATACTATAGTACAGTATAGTATATTATAGTATATTCAAGTATACTATAGTACAGTATAGTATAGAGGGGAGTGCCGTGTAGGGTTTTGGAAGCGCTATCGGGGCTTGCAGGGCTCCATGTTAGGTTTGTAATGATGCAGGGTCTTGGTTTGTGGAACTTTTCGGTGTAATTGCTTGGGGTGTAAGAAGTAGGACTTATGGTTTTAGCGTTTCATGGATCTGAGGGTTTAGAAGAATGCAAAGCCCTCATTGGATCCAAAGCCGTGAAGCCTGAAAGCCTGAATCCGTAACCCGGGAATCCTAGAACCTTCAGCCCAAGCCCACGGCCCCGACACCTGGGACCCTGCATCTCCCTCCCGTTACCGCATCCCTGACACCTTATACCCTGAACCTGAAAAGCTAAACCAACCCAAAAACGAAAACCTCCCAAGGCCGGAAAACACAATCCCCTGCACCACGAAGATGGAGGGACCTCCTTGACCTCCTCCACCTCTTCTTTGCCGCCTTCCTGGCACATGCAGGGTTTCTGGTGGCTGGATTCAGAGCGCTTGACTTAGGCTGAGGGCTTAGGTTTAGTGCCTTTATGTGGCTGCTACAAGGGTTCTGTAGAGTTTCACAAGCGCTCAATGAAGTTCTATGAACCTGGAAGGACTTTTTAGGGGCGTAAGGCATTCAAAGTCGAAGCTAAATTAAGAAACAGCACGTGTCAAGTTATGATGAACATGGTCATAAGCACAGTGCCCGATAGAACACTTCGGAACCGCTATAAAACCCGGAGCGTCATCCCTGGCCTCTTCTTTCACCACCTCGATCTCTTTCTCCCCAGCCGGACCCACGATTTCGCGCGTCACCGTCTCGCCGGGGGTGATTGCCTCCTCGGGCTTGCCTGGCTTGAATTGCAAAGAGAATGAAGGGTCTAGGACTGGGAATCCAGTTTAACCTGGGTACATGTGTCTCCCACCATTTTAACGAGTGACTCTAGTTCATGGTTGGAGTAGGATTAAAAATGTGCATTTTTATTCCTTATTGGGTTTAAGTAACCACAAATATTTAAGATGTTACCCAACTATGACAAAGGACTAGTGCTCTGATAGCTAGCAAATAGCACCTCTGGCATAAGCCTTGTAGTCCCTGCGACGGACTTGTAGGCTACCGAAACCGGGACCTGTCCAGCAAAGGTTGACGTAAACCTATACTGACGAAAAAAACCGGTCATGCGAGAAGGACTGTAGTACTTGGAGGATCATGGGACTTAGTAAGTAGTTATGAAGTACCTTGATTGGGGTTATAAGTACTTATAAGTATAGCTACCTTACTTGTAGCCCTAGTTACTGAGTCCCATGATCCTCTCAGTAGCAGTTGTTCCTCTAGCTCCCGCCCTTTGAAGAAAAAGGCGCTTGATGAACAGACCTGGGGCCAACACCGCTACGGGAGCCCTTGAAGAACCCCAACAAACGCACCCGAGCCCTAAACCCCGAAAACCCCGCACCTAGAACTAAAACCCCACAACCTGAGCGACTTTTCACTCGCCCGTCCTTTGCCCTCCTCTATCTGGATCTTCTCCAACTCCTGGAAAGCTTGACGGGCTGACAGGGCGCAGGGAGCGGGGGCCAGGCACAGTTTTGTCGGACCTCTGCACGGGGTTTGGAGGGCTTGGGGGCTTGAGGCTCGGAATTCTCCCGCACCCTAAGCCCAAAAACCGAAGTGGGCACAGAGCTTGAAGAACGCTTAACGAGACGAAGCGAACACAGCGTCAAGCAGAATCCTAAACTCCAAACCAACGAGGTCCACTCCGCGGCACAACTTCTCAAAGCTCTCCCAGGCCCTGGAAAGTAAGAATCTAAAGAAACCTCTTCTGGAAGACCCTTGTACTCCAATCCTGGAAAAGAAACATCAAACTCGTCAATCTCCAAATGTGCAAAACCAGTAGTTCTTCTGAACTCATTAAATCTTAAACCCCTACAGCCCCAACCCAAACCGTAAACCCTACCTGGACCACAAAAGACCTGCCTTCTTGAGGACTTCTCATTCAGGGAATTCGTGACAAGGAACCCTGAACAGGTAGGCTTCTTAGTCTCCTAAACCCCGCACCCTAGGCCCCGTACCCAAAAAACTATTTAAACCCTAAAGACTACACCCGAAACCATGAACCCAAAGCCAGGAGGTCCTTCAGAAGCTCCAACTTCTCCTCCGCAAGCGGCTCCACGTCGAGTTCGGGGGAGGGGGGGGGTTTGGGACTTTGCGGCTTTGGGTGTTTTCGTGGTTTCGGGGTGCGGGCTTTGGGGGTTTAGGGCGTTGAGTTTTCGGGGGTTTCGGGGATTGTGTTCGTAGGCTTCGGGATGGGCGTCTATGCAGAATTTAGAACGGTTTCTGCGTATTTCAGGTGGAAGCCCTTCGACTCTCGATTTAGGAAGCATCGAACTACGCAGACTTGATTGGGGTTCGAAAGCTTGGCAGGTCTCAAGAGTCTGACGGCTGTGCCAGCTCGAGTAAGCTATTAATACCCATCATCCATCTACATACATTGTGTATGTGTGCTTTTGACTTTGAGTGCGCTGCTCGAGTCGTCAAGCCTAGCGAAGTTACCGAGACAGATGAATATTCATCCGGCCATTCTGGATGGCATGCCTTTGGCATTCTCCGCAAACGAGCATTGCCCCGAGCCGAACCTCCCGAAGGCATGCGAAGGATATAACTGAACCTATGCGACTGTACGATCACCAATGACATAGAAGAGAAGATAACTGCTACGATGGAATTGTTCAATCTCGGAAACATTCGCAATCATCGATGCGGGTACGTTATCATCCGTGAGAAAGGAGCGGCCACTCAAGTGATCATACAAAATTGCCTGATAATGGCCAGAGGTGACTTGCATTCCCAGGTGAATACAAATGGCTTGCAACCTGAAGTAAAGCAGATGCGTGCTAGTCGTATGATCATCGGTAAAGGTCGGGATGGCGAGTCGTGGCTGGTGAGCCACGTAATCATCACGCTTGCTGCAATCATCTCGGTAGCGAGCCAACTGTATCACAACAAGCTCAGTCCGTCCATTAAGAGCTCGAGTCCCAGCCTGCGTGTGCCAGTCATTGACCAGGGATTGGGTGTCATGCAAAGTGGAAGCACTGAGTGGAAGGCTGATCACAGGTGAATTGCCCTCCTCTTCCACACATGTGTGCCTGTCAATCTCAACACGAGTCTGCCAGTAGACATCAGGCTGTGGGAACAGTGAATGGCAATGTATGTACTGTAAAAGCTCGGCAGCATCATGTTGCCTGTGAGGCGACGTCCAGTCCTGTAGCAAGCTGAGCCATGTTGGCTGAGACAGCAGGAGCTGTGATTGCTGGCACTCAAGAATGCTCCTGAATCCTCGCATGAGCCACTCCGGAACCTGAGTGAGGTGAACAGGACAGGAGGGTAGGCTCCATAGCCAGGACAGAAGCACTGCATGCATGTAGCACAGATTAGACGGGTTACGGAGCTTCAGCTGGAGGATGCGGAGGCGAGTTGGCTCTGGATGTAGTTGGCCAAAGGAGATCGCTGCAAGCGATCCTGACGAAGGTTCATACCAACCGTCTGTGTAATAGCCGACTGGCTCAGTCGGTGCATTGTGTCGAAGGTCTCGTGAGCCAGCTGAATCCTCAGTCCTATGTCCATCACAAAGACTATAACTGGCGCATCCCCGGTTTCCAGAAGGCTTCTCTTCGCGTGGAAGCGGTGGAGGACGCCCGGTTGGGCAAAGAGAAAGAGGAGTCGGTCCAGGAGTCGAACGGCCTCGGTGTGGAGAATGGGTTCGTTCTCCTTGTTGATGACGTGTTTCTGCTCCTTGTTGTCCCACTGCAGGTAGTTCCATCCCTTGCAGTCCTCCGTGATCCACCCTCGCTGAGCCGCTTGCTCCCGTTGTCCATCGTCCTGCATCGCCTTGGTGATCCGGTTCTTGACTTCGCTGAACAGTGCATGAGCCAGAGCTTGTCTCAGCGCCATCGTGGCCTGACCCTTGTCGCGGAGATCCTTCCAAGCCTTGGCGACCTTCCAAAGACGATTGGGCATGCCGTCTGGCTGATTGGTGAAGAAAATGATGTATCGGGTGTCGAGGGACTGCAGGTTCAAGGAGTCTTCGTGGCGAAGAAGGAGACGACAGACGCTCTGCAGCAGGGAGTGCATGCGGCGGAGCTCGGCCTGGAGGTTGTTGGAATAGGTCGGTCGAGTGGGCTGGTTCCTGTTTGGATTGAAGCCCGAACCATTCTCTGAGCGACGCTTGTGGTCCCCCTTGGTATCCCCCTTCCCTTTCCCATTTGGTCCAGCTTTCCCCAGATTGGCTCCTCGTAGCGCCTTGGCCGGTCTCTCCTCCAGGGGATGTGCGCTCCGCATTGGTTCCTGCTCGATCTCCATGGCCCTGTCCTCCTGTTCTTGCTCTGTGCCTGGAGCTGACATAATTCCGCAGTACACCTTCATTTCGTCCTCCGGGGACATCTGCTTCGGCTCCGAAGCCGGGAGGCTCTGGCTGAGGAAGGATGGAGGTTGGGCGAATGTCATCGAGCGAGGGTTCACCTGCAAGTTGGCGAGTGGGGTGCAGAATATTCTCCATAAGCATGCATATGCAGGGCACAAGACAGCTGCGCATGTGAGCGTCCCGCCTTTTGTAGGATTTGCCACACCACACGCAGGGAGACGGCGTGGAGAACTTGCGAACCCGAGCTTCGCATGCATGTAAAATGGAGCTATATTGGGCATGCTTGGCAAGTATATGAGATTTGATGTAGGAAGAATTGGCTACATACTTGTCACAGAGAGGGCAGTGGTGCTCAAGTTTCTCACGAACGAGCTGGCAACCGATGAGTCTGTGCCAGGGGTGAGCGAAGAGAATCTGTACAATCTCCGGTGTCTCAATAAGAGGCAGGTGGCGGGAGGCAGATGGCCTGATTCGAAGGTGCTGCTCGCCATGTTTGTCCCGATGCTCTCTTAGACCTTCACATTGTGCATAAGCTACGTGAAGATTGAACTCGGGCCATCCCCAGAAGGCATGTTTGCAGAAAACGCACTTCGGCAGACCTTCTTCGGCAAATAAAGTGTAATCTGCAACGATGTGAGCTTGCCAGTCCGGCCTGGTGCTAATCTTATGTGCTTTGGCGATGTGTTTATTAAGCGAGGCTAAATCGCTGTAGGAGACACCACACTCAGGGCATGGGAGGCCTGTGAGCTGCAAATTATCTACAGACAAGAGCCTGGGTTTGGACTGAGAGGTCGTTGTGTTCAGGCATGCCGTGATATGAGACTGGGTGCACCTTAGCCATTCAAGCACTCTGGCAGGCTGCATCGAAGCTTGGGATTCAACCGTGGAAATTTCTCTGGCAACATCCTCCGCAAAGCATTTGGCTGGCGTGGGTATGCCTGTCTTGACAAAGATCTCATCGTTCGTCTCTCGAGTGTAGTAATTGTGACTGCGGGTGATAATGCGGAGCTGTTTGGCCACAAGACTCGTGCAGTCTTTTATGAGATCCGGTGTCAAGCCTGAGCACGTTAGGCCGTACGAGAGTACCGGCCATACCAGGGATCTCCATAAGCGTACACGCCTGTGATCAGAGAGGGCTCGTCGATCTTTGAGGACATGGGCCAGCCTGGCAAAAGTGCCAACAGCTTTTTCTTTCCGATGCTGATAGGATTCCTGCTCTATCCGGCGGTAGGAGAGCATAATGCCAAGGTAGGGATGGGACTGTCGAAGCGGCAGCTTCCATTTGCCAGCCATGATGCCTTTGCCAGATGGCAACTTGCAAGTGATGTCAGACATGACTTGTGGTGCCTTAGGGCCGCGGACTTCCAGCAGGAAGATCGACTTCTCAGCACTGACCTCAAGTTCGCAGGAGCACAGCGTGTCCAAGATACTCGCGGCTTCGCGAAGTCCGCGTCTCAAATCCGCCACAGTTCTGATAACCCAACTACACAAGTTATCGTCCGCATACAGGGAGAGCCCGTCTGTGACGAGGCCGGCACTCGTCTGCTTCTGTATCATCTGTATAATGAAGCCTGAGGCTAGGGTCCATAACTGAGGGGCGAGAGGACACCCTTGCCTGATTCCTCGACCAGCCAAGACCGAAATCTGGTGGTCCCCCAAGCAGAATTTGACTTGCCTGTGTAGCTCAAGGATACAGTTTGTGAGATCGGCTGGCACAGCGGCAGCAACTAGAGCTTGATGCAGAATGGTTTCTGGCAGGGTGTCGAACGCACGGGGAGATCTACGCTTAAAGTGAACCCGCCTGCCAAGGGTAGGGCTTTGTGGCCTTCTTTGAGGCGATGTATGGTCTGAGATTGACCTTGAAGGAGGTTGCGAACGCAGTGACAGTGGGAAGCGATACGACTTATGGCACTTCCTGTAGACCTGCCAGCTAAATAGGCAAATTGTGGTGCCGTTTGGAGGTAGGCTTCCGTGTACGGCTGCAGACGCCTAGCAAGTATCACACCCAAAGCTTTCGAAATTGGATCTAGAAGCTTTATGGGTCTGAGGGCACCAGGAGAGGTCGGAGGTTTACTGGGTTTCGGCAGCAGTGCGAGATGTGCCTCGGTCCATTCCGGTTCAAAGCTGATTCGTCCTGGCCCGAATACGTCAGCGGCCTCAAGGGTGTCTGTGTGTATGTGTGCATACATACATACATACATACATACATACATATATATATATATATACACACATGTAAATATGTATATATGTATATATGTATATTTGTATATATGTGTATATGTATATATGTATATATGTATATATGTATATATGTATATATGTATATATTTATATATATGTTTATATGTATATATGTATGTATATACATATATATATATATATATGTATGTATATATGTATGTGTATATATATATATATATATATATATATGTATGTATATATGTATATGCATGAATAGGTGTGTGTATATATATATATATATATAGATGTGTACATATGTAGATACAGTTATACGTATATATATATATATATATACATACATACATACACATACACATGAATATGTTTATATAAAAACTACCATCGGCTCCTTCACGAGCTGCTCGGTCTTGTCCGAGACGGCATCCTGCGGAACGGAGGCGAAACTCGACGGGTACGGTTGCCTTCGCGTTGAGGGTCAAGGGGGGATGATGTACAATGTCATTCGTTTAACTGGCACCGATTTTTTCTCAAGTGTGAGCCATCTTGCAAAATTAAGCCTTATGTGATATCGACAGTTGTGGCGGATCAAAGACATTGAGCAGGATCTTCCCACGCCTCCAGCTCAATCGAAAACCAATGCTCAGGTCGTTGCTTTTGATCAGGGAATGGGGGCTGGGAGGTTGTGGTTCCCATGGTTGAGGCCGGGGAGTGGAAATATAGGTGCCTTAATTGTTGGAATATTGTTTTTGCGGCCCATTATACTATGATTATAATTAAGAAGGAACCACCAAAATTGTTGCTGACTTCTCTAATGCTGCGAACTTCAGCGCGCATCACAATCCTCGGAAAATGGTTCTCGGAAGGCTAACATGAAAGTTCTATCAGGCTTATCTACTATGGTTCTCATAAGAGCCAGGCAAGGGTTCTCTGGGGGTTTAGGGTTTAGTGTCTCGCGGCTTAGGGAGAAGGATTTACGTCTTCGGAGGGCGTGCTGAACTCTGTGGACTCCTGCGAAACTCCACAGGTGTAGATTTCGGCTTGAAGGTTGAAGTCAAGGGAGCTAAAGCAACAGTCCATGTCTACCAGCATCACAGATCTTCTTCAAAATCATGAGGCCGCCGTAAGCATCACCGTGATCACCTTCAGTTCCGCCATGACCACGACAGCATCGCCACCGTCGCGGGTCCCAAACACCCTCCTTCCTTCTGATACTTACTGTATGCTTGTCCCTGCCCTCAACGGTACATGACATTCGCAGTGACATTTTCACTGCCACCGTCAACCTCAAATGTTCCGGAGAAAACTGTCTGCTTCTTAGGATCCCTATAGTAGTCCCTATATATTCCCCAATGATAGTCTCCATAATCCATTCCCCCATTCCCTACTAAGAACCAGACAGGACAAGATTTCGGTCCTGCTGCATTCCAACCTCGCGGCTCTGGAGCGCCGCTTTCTCCTGATTTGATTTTGGGGTTCCCAGAAGTGTTTAGGGTTTTGGGAGCTCAAGTCCTTCTGTGCTCTTGGAAAAAGGGGTCATGAGACTCATGAGATTTGTTGTGATGTACAGTCGGCTCGAGGCTCGTAGTCGTTTCGGTGGTTTGTTCTTTGTGTCCTGGAGGGAGAGTAACCCTCCGTTTGGTCAGTAGACCTTTGTCTGGGGACGTCTTCGACCCTCTTGAAAGTTGCTTGAAGTGTGCGTGGCTTTGCGGTAACATAGCAGCCTTAATGCTCAGGAGAGAGGTTTGGGGTATGCTTACGAAACCCTAAATAAGTGCCAAAACGACTTATTCAGCCCCCTACAGGCCCCCATGTAATTTCCCAGATGGCTTGACAAGGTTGTGCAGTGCCCTCATCAAATTCACTAGACTGATACTACAGGTAGTGGTAGTTGCAAACCCTCTAACTCTTCCAAGCATGTCATGTTACAAGCTTTGACTACGCTCGTGCAGGTCCGAGAAGCGTCACTGAACAACTGACCTGCACCCCCACTGCAATGATTAGGTATCTCCTGGCTAGGATAAGGAGCTAACTGCTTAATGACCGTCAGCAAGCATCAACATCTCCTCATCCTGAGTCTGCCAACACGTGAGTTTGGGGCGCGGTGCGCTGATACCGACTTCGGGACTGGGGCGAGTCGACAGCCTAGATTTTCCAGACTTCGGTTCAGGGTCTGCTCTGAAAATTGCGGAGCCACATCAACAATGTCATGGATGTGTGCACTGACTGTTGCCCGTATTGCTAGTGGGAAGATGGTGATGGTGAAGACGACTATCGTGTTTCTTCTGCTTCGACGACAAGGCTGCGACGACACCAGAGCGCAACACTCCAGCACAAACAACCCGAATAACGTGCCTTGGCCCGTGATCCTAAGATGGCATTGCATCTCGGATTGGATGATCAAAGGTCCACATTGCATTTTGAATTGGATGCCCCAGATAAAGGCTGGGTCGGGCCACATAACCTCATGTCGTGTTGTACCCTCGATCTCCTGCGTTGGGGTAAGGATAGCAGTGTTCCCCATATCCTGACAGCCAGGGCTCCGTTGCGCAAAGGCTTGAGGCTTATATACGGTTCAGGTTTACGCCGATGGCCTTATGCCGAGCTTCTGGATCAATGTGAGAGTCGCTAGGTGTAGGACGATGCCTGTTAAGGAACGATGTTGCCCAAGTCCATCATGAATTGCCGAGACCATTATAGTTGCTAAACTGTTCGCGCCACTCTATCCATGATGAAGGTAACGGTGATGATGATGATGACGACGATGATGTTGGCGACGATGATGGTGATGGTGGTGCTGGCGACGATGATGCTGATGATGATGATGATGCTCGATGATGATGATGACGACGACCTTATCAGCCTTTTCGTTATTCACGTAGGGAACGGCATGGCCTTCCGGTGCTGATCCTCTTGCTCAGCGAGCGCCCTCTCCTGTGACCGCTGCTCCTGGATGAAGATTCAGGCTTGAGGGCTTAGGCTTCCGGGTTAGGCTTCCGAGTTTAGGGCTGAGAGCTTGCATGTTAGAATCAAGTTGAAGTTCGAGGTTTGTGGAGACACCCCCCAAATCCCTACACGCCTAAACCCAAACACCAAACCCCACAAGCCGGAAGCTTGTCGAGACTCGCAAGCCCCCAAGAATATAGGGAGCGGAATAATCATGAGAATAGTGCTTCGGGGTTTAAGAGATACATGTTTACCAAGTTTCTAGTAGAGAAACCCTTAAGAGGTTTGAGGTCGGAAGACGACCCCCGAGTATCGTTTGTCTAATGGTCTGCTGATGGTGTAACAAGCTGACATTAATAAGGGAAAAAGCAAGGCCTTTCACTTGTAGACCTTTTTTTTAAAACTAGCAAAACGGAGGGGTCGGATCCGACCCCAAACGCCCTCTGGAATAGTTTGCGCGATTTTTCAGGCTTCGGAGCTTGCCCAAACCCTCAGTTGCTGCACTGACACTCCAAGAGGTCACCTCGGGATCCTTAGCTCTTCCCTAGTACAGAAGCTTGAATAAACAAGACTATCTTTACGTGGGTTCAGGGTTTAGGGCGTCGGGTTTATAGGGTTCAGGGTTTAGTGTATAATATGGGAAAATGTAGTTCTAGGAGACCACACGCCAGAGCTGTGTTGATCGTTCAAGCACCTAAACTGGCCACCCTCCTTCTCAAACCCAGGAGCTTACTGTAGGGTTTGGGGCTTCGGGGCTTACAGCTTAAGACTTTCATTTCTTTTAGAAGTGCAATGACTTTGAGGCTTCGGTCTTTGGGAGGTCGCATTGGGGCTTAGGACTTATGGTTAAGGCCTCGAGAGGTTTAGAGCTGAGGCTGTTCGGCTTTGGGGCTTCGGCTGTTACGATATGAAGTTGACCTTTGGGTTTTCAGGTGTGGGACCCAAGGTGAAAGCCACAGCAGAGACTGCAAATACACACGGAGTGATGGCTAGCAGAAAGAGCACTAACGATGACGGCAAGCCGAGAGCGACTATCGTGATTATTCGGCATTCTCATCATGGCCATCAATGTTGCTCCTTCTTTATCTTTGACGGTGTCGTTGTTGCGGCCATCTTCATTCTTGCAACTAGTTAGGTCTCTCCGCTGCTAGTGTTGGTGATTATTCTACACGAAACTGCATGGCCTACCCCAAGCCCCTTGAACCCTGGACTCTTGAATCCCTGACCCCAAATCCTGAAACCAAACACTGAACCGGAAAAAGATTACCTCCAAGTACGAGTCTATGGGGCAATGGTCGGAGACTTCCCTACCGGGGGGGGGGGTTAGGGCTTCAGGGATCTCAGGTTTTTGCCTTAGGGCTTTCGGGGTCGAAGCTTCCTGGCTTTAGGCCGATAAGCTCTGTCTAAGA